GAAGATCAACATATATCATAATGGCATGGAGATACACTGGATAGTCGAGGATGATGTGCTGCATTAGTTTATCGTCACCTTTTGTATACAAATTAATTAAGGACCCTGCCCTGGTGTTGTGATCATATCTGTCCAATAATATGGTATCGTTCACGTCAAGCCTGAGCTAAAACACAGATGATTATGCAAATGTTCAATATTTTAGTTGCAGTAACAACACAGTTGCGACAGTACTGTACAAGAGCAAAATTGATAACCACGGAAACTATGGATCTGGGGAGTTTAATGATCAGGTATGAATGACCATTCCTGTCCAAAAAGTTTATTGTTACCATACAAGGATAATCACAATCCTGAAAATCAGTAGCTGTGTCTCGATGACAGATTCTGCCGTTCTCATTCCTCCAGTGAGACTCCTGATGCAATGCAGCCTCAAAAGCTGTCCCATTCTGTACTGGTGGATCCATTGCCTGCAGGCAACGTCCAAGAATGTTATCTTCCACTGGATTAAAATCTGGACTCGTGGCGGGCAAAGGCAAAGTGTCAATGAATGCACTTTCAGAAATGCAGCCACAGCACGATAACGATAAACACAGGTCGAGTGGCAAGTGCATGATTGTCAACATGTGGCACAACAACAGGATTGAGGACGTCCTTGATTTAATGATCGCCGTTGAGATTGCCTCATACTGTTGCCATGTCCAATTTACATTCATGGGGTATTGCTCCCCACAACGTGATGGGGCCTCCACCAAACGGGACTCTTGGTACAATAGTCCTGGGGCATACGCAGTGTTTCTGTGTCCCCTAACCCGCATTTGCCCATCTGTGACGTGCAACAAAAATCTGCTTTCATACACCAAGCCAATCGAAGTCTTTAATGATAAGCAGTTAACAAGGGACGTCTGATGACACTTCAGGAATTCAACCAAAATTATTTAGCTGGTTTCGGACAGATGTCTATTGAGAAGCCATTGTGCTTTCAGAGCTTTTACTCATGGCAAAGCGTTGTCGCCTCACAAGAGGTGTTAGAGTCCTTCTCCCCGCCCTGGTCGTGGACGGACCTTAACTTCGTGGTAGGTGTTCGCTGATGACAGTATGGTCATGGCCAAGTTGACTTCCAAAGGCTCTGAATGGCATACCTGCATGCCAATAATTTGCCAACGGAGTGCCTAACAGGCCCCTGCGTGTCATGGTCACATGTACTGACTAAACAATCGGATAATTGCCACTTTACATACCTTTACTTGCATCCAGATCAAGGTGTTTTCCTTAAACGCGAGGGTATCATGCTTTACGTTCATATGTCTGTGTTTGGGCTACACAGTCAGTTGTCATGACTATGCTCGCGATCGACAGCCATTCTATGTACGGGTGGCCCAGTCGTCTAAGGCGCCGCGATTCGCTGTGCAGAGTTGCGTCCCTTGGGCACGCCAGAAACCTATGATTGTGGGTTCGAATCCCGGTTCGCCCCGATTATGTTTCAAGGTTTGTCAGCACCATACCCGTGCTCCTGGGTTTCACCGAAGTGGTAAACGTCTGAGACCTGCATCACTTCGGGCTTTCCTCCAACATTAAGCTGACACGCCGCGATATAACGGGAATACTGTTAAAAGCGGCGTTAAACCCAACTCACTCACTCACTCACTCGTCGACCGGATCGGGGAAGGTCCCGTGTTGTCCCGTGTGTCTGATAACGGTTCCACAGTCGTGTAATGGTGCTTGGAGCTACGTGGAAATACCTGACTACCGACAAAGATGAATCTCCTATTAACAGTCGGCCGATGGCGTTGTTGCGTCGGGCTTCCGTCAGTCGTGGCATATTTTCGCTGTTCACTTGCTGTAAGATTGTGATGGCATGCAACGAAAACCCAACGTTAATATAGCCCAACAAGTGATGTTGCACCTGCCTGTCATGTTAGCGTGTTTTAGGCGCCAGTCTCTCACAAGGTTGTGTTTTTGCTTTTTTTCATCATTTCACAAAAATTCTGCAGTACCTTATTCTTTCCACCCAAATCAATCCCAATCCATGCAGATATGACCAATTCATGTGTGGTATTAAGTATGTGTGGATGTCCGAACACTCTGTGAGATATTCCGATTTTACTGCTTTTGCGTTTTATTTTGTTTTTGCAGAGAATATTAATTTAAAACATTAAGGCTAGAAAAATTACATTCCTTGGTTTTCAGATGTTAAAGTCACAATTGTTTTCACCATAACACGTCTCCAACGGGTAATTAATTCAGTAGCCATATATAGCTGCATTGATTGTCTGGTGTCTCCCGACCGCTCCAGCAAGACTTCTAATGAAGCGAAAGGATAGTGTTTACCCAAACACTCAACCACAAAAGGTAGTTGTGCGTAACACAAGATATAGCGCACGCAATTCAGTTATAAAATTTATTGATTTTTAGCTAGCCCGACTGAAAGAGAAGTGTGTTTACATCGTGGATAGCTGCGGCTTCGTTTACGTTCACCTTTTCGACATGTCTGAAAATACAAGGCCCATGAAGCTCAAGATCCCAGCAGGGGGCAGGGCTGGCCCAGTCGTCTAAGGCGCCGCGATTCGCTGTTCAGAGTTGCCTCCCTTGGGCACGCCAGAAACCTATGATTGTGGGTCCGAATCCCGGTTCGCTCCGATTATGTTTCAAGGTTTGTCAGCACCATACCCGTGCTCGTGGGTTTCACCGAAGTGGTAAACGTCTGAGACATGCATCACTTCGGGCTTTCCTCCCACATTAAGCTGACACGCCATGATGTAACTGGAATACTGTAAAAAGCGGCGTTAAACCCAACTCACACTCACTCATGATCCCAGCTGTGGTGTCTCTAAGAAGTGCATTCCTATCCCATTTTAACACTGCCGCCACTATAGCCATGCTGAAATGTGATCCTTTCCCTTTACTCAGGCGGGGCGGTTGGGTAGCCTAGTGGTTAAAGCGTTCGCTCGACACGCCCAAAACCCGGGTTCGATTCCCGACATGGGTACAATGTGTGAAGCCCATATCTGGTGTCCCCCGCCGTGATGTTGCTGGAATATTGCTAACAACGGCGTAAAACCATACTCACTCATTTCTGCATGTCATGTCATTTGATCTGCAGCAAGTATGCGGAATAACAATAAGAGTTTCGGCATACTTTGATTATTGTATCAAGTTACATTTAACCATCACACCACGTAATGCATAATTGATTCAGCTTTACTGCATTTTCGACATCTGAAACCTCGAGCTTTACAACTTCCACCTTGACCTCTCTGAAAACAAATACCCTGAAACTGATCGGAATCTTTCATTTGTTACGCACCTGATAATATCGATCACAGGACAAACTACGTGTTCTGGAAAACCGTGAAGATCCGGGTTAAAATAGGTCTTCAGCAACCTATATATGCTTACCGCAAAAGGCAATTATGCTTGTCGTTAGAGGCGACTAACGGGATCAGGTCGTCAGGCTCGTTGACTTGGTTGATGCATGTGGTTGTATCCCAATTACTTAGATCGATGCTCCTGATATCAATCAATGCATTGTCTAGTCCAGACTCGATCATTGACAGACCGCCGTCACAAGGCTAGAATATTGCTGAGTGCCGCTTTAAATAACAAACAAACAAACATGTTCTATGAAATTATATTGCTCCTCCTTTCAGAGAAATAAAATTGTATGCCTTCAAGCCCTGACTTAAACAACATTCTGTCTCAAACACACAGATAGTAGACCCCGTTACTTCACGTACATTACAGGCGGCGCGACGTTTATTCGCCTATGCTGAAAGAGATGAAAAAATCATGCAAAAGCTGACTACCGACTGACGACATGTTTAGACGGGTTGATTGTGTTGAAACCTGACAAGCAACTTCAGTGCAGCAGATTGTACTTGTTCAATCAATAGTGTCACATGCAATACAACGAGCTGATAACCCTTCTTCCTGCGTCTTATTGTGAATGCGTGGCCCCACATAGTCAGTTTTGTCAACAAGAAAATACAGTATTTCCTCTTAATAGACGCATGGACTTCTAATAATTTCGCGCAAGCCGTTCACCCAACGTCTTTTCTGTTTAATGCCATCTTCCCGAGGCAAGGGCATTTTTTAACTGACTATGTAAGTCCAGTTTCCACCCTTGCCGAACAAGGCTGGAATTTCGTGGCTCGATCATAGCGCCACCAGTGGCTATTATGAGTTATGTCCCTTCTATGTTCCTCCTTTTGACCAATCAGATTCCACCTCTCACATCACTTGCATTTGCTTCGAACAAAATGGCGGCGCCCAGTGAAGACGATCTGATCTTTAATCAAGATCTATATTGTAATCAAATGGGCCTTACCCCGCGAAGTGCAACAAATCACAATAGCACCTTGGTTTAAAGCATACAGAGATTTGGAAAATATCTGTCGACGCCGACTTGACTGTACAATTGGTTGAAATTAATGTGATAGGGATCATTAATTTCATCAAGATATGGTCCCGGCGTCTCACAGGGGACATGGGTGTCCCAGTCGTCGAAGGCGCCGCGATCCGCTGGGCACGCCAGAAACCTATGATTGTGGGTTCGAATCCCGCTTCGCCCCGATTATTTTTCTAGGTTTATTAGCCCCATACCCCTGCTCCTGGGTTTCACCGAAGTGGTAAACGTCTGAGACCTGCATCACTTCGGGCTTTCCTCCCACATTAAGCTGACACGCCGCGGTATAACTGGAATACTGTTAAAAGCGGCGTTAAACCCAACTCACTCACTCACTCACTCAAGTGTGATGCAGTATGTTTACTAGCCCCTATTTGTGGCTAAATACTAGTAATTTGTTCTCTCACATATCTTTGTGTTGGAAGGGTAGAGGTAGGAGAGGCGCCCCTTCACACGTGTACAGGTCTGTGTCTGGGCTGCTTCTGCTGGATCCCCCACAGTTATGTCCCTTGGTTGAGACAACACTCCACCCTGGAAGACAAACGGGAACAATAAGTCAACCTGTACCTGTTAATGTATTATTCACTCACCGGCGTCTTTCAGAGGGTCGGCTTCTATTTGTCAGACAAAGCGAATTAGAGGCCGGCGTGTATTTGAGTCTCGGCGTCTAATAGGGGAATTACTGTACGTTCAATTAAACTTGGCGGCAACACAGAGTGGATTGAGGCTTATTAACGGGGACATAAACAGATAAACAGACGACTACATCATGGTGGATGTCAGACTGTACTCCCATGCTGTATGGACGTACTCGAGAACGCCAGTGAGTATTCTTGTGGAATAGTTCCCGTGTTTTGTATCCAGAGGAGAGTATGTTGTCCATGGTCACCATCAACAAAGTAACATGGCATTTAATGCAAGGGTGAATTAGTGGGCCGACTTTAAAGCCGCTCTGAACTGTAGCGTCATATGAGGGAAGCCTAAAGTAGCGAATGTCGCAGACATTTGCCATTGTCGTGAAATTCATTAGCACCACGATTATCGTCCTGACAAACAAAGGATCATAACGGTGGCGAATAGGGTTTTCAAAACCACGGTCACGGCAAACACTGGGTCATTCGTTAATTAAGTTTGACATGATCGTCTTCTAACTGTTCGAGCTGTTAACGTGGCATTTTGGTATCGATTTCGTAGATGCACCAACCAAATTATGGTTGTGTTGTTGATGTTAAATCGATAAACATCAAAATGTCTTGCAAATTCGTTTTTGCGTCATTCCTGTTTAGGGGCGGTCGGGTAGCCTAGTGGTTAAAGCGTTCGCTCGTCACGCCGAAGACCGGGGTTCGATTCCCGACATGGGTACAATGTGTGAAGCCCATTTCTGGTGTCCCCCGCCGTGCTATTGCTGGAATATTGCTAAAAGCGGCGTAAAACCATACTCACTCACTCACTCATTCCTGTTTGCACCATACCCACGGCTCGTCGGCGTTGGTTTTCAGCAAGCCGTGGCATTGCATTAGCGTTATTTACGGTTTAAAAAAAGTGTTTTGATGAGCTGACAATCATTGTGTGCTGTTCACATTAAAAAACATGTGTTTGTGTTAGGGCTGGGACGGGTAACTCGGGTACCCGGGTCGGGTGGGTACTGGTAGGACCCGGGTACGCACAGGACTACACGGACCCGTGGTTAGTCACGTGATATATTGTTTCATGACAACAACAAAATCACTACATAACTAAATGGTCACACGACAATTTTAAGTCTCTAATGTTCGCATTTCTTCATGACTATGAACACGTTCCTTCGAACTTAAATATGTTTGAACAAAGCTAAAACTTTAGTAAACTTCAGTGTACGCATGACCACATCGTTTTATACGTGTATCTAAACAGTCTGCCAGGGCTACTGTCAAACTATTCCCAATCGGACATTTTGTATCTATCTCTTGATACCAACAGCGGGTACCCGGGTAGGGTCGGGTAATAGGGGTGTGGGTACCCGGGTAGTAAATTTGGACTCGTCCCAGCATTAGTATCGTGTTACCAACAAGCAAATATCCAAATTGTGAGCCGTGCCTGAACATTAAATTCATGCAAAACGCACTTCGTGCATGGATTAAGAGCAGTGACACCGCTTCGCTGTAGTATCTCCCCTTATACCGCGCATCGCTGTATAGAAACACTTTGAGTCACGCCTCGATAATGTGCAAGATTACGTCACAATTCTGGACTGAATTATTTTGACGGTTTATAAGACAGATAAAACACTCATCTTCGGTCTTGGACGAGATTGTAAAACCCTCGGGTTGGGACCTGGTTAGTAAAACATACCCTTTCCGTCGGACAGTTTTCTATTCTGAGTGATATATCTATCGTAGCTTGAAATGCCGCGTTCTCCTTGTCATGTGACTGTACCGGTATTTGCACGTGACCCACATCGTGCATTTACAGCAGTGACACCGCTTTCAGAAGCTCGGTCCCTTGTAAAGAGAGTGAGTGAGTGAGTGAGTGAGTTGGATTAATGCCGCTTTTAACAGTATTCCAGTTACATCACGGCGTGTCAGCTTAATGTGGGAGGAAAGCCCGAAGTGATGCAGGTCTCAGACGTTTACCACTGAGACCGCCCCCCCCCCCCCCCCACACTTGCAAAGAGACCAAAACCACAAAGTCGTGTTTTATTCCTTACATAATGCTTGGTCTTCCAGCACCGCTTCCTCGCTCGTTGGTTTTACTAAAGTATATTCATCTAAGATCCTCATCACTTGGAGCATCCCCCAACATATACATTTGTTTGTTTGATGTTTAACGCCGCACTCAGCAATATTCCAGCTATATGACGACGGTCTGTGGATTATCGAGTATGGACCAGACAATCCAGTGATTGACATCGTGAGCATCGATCCACGCAATCGATTAACCAAGTCAGCGAGCCTGACCACCCGATCCCGTTAGTCGCCTCTTACGACAAGCATAGTCGCCTTTCATGGCAAGCATGGGTTGCTGAAGACCCTTTCTACCCCGGATCTTCATGGGTCCAACATAAACATGATTACCGCCTCTAATAGAAGCCGGGTCAATTGTTCAGTGCAAAAAATAGAAGCCGGGCCTCTAATAGACGCCGGGTCGATCAATTGATACAATTAATGATCCCTTTTTGGGACCTAAATTACATAATGATAGTGAAATGGGGGTATTAATAGAAGCCGGGCCTCCAATAGACGCCGGGTCAAAGGCTTGTCCGAAATAACTAGAAGCCCGGGCGTCTAATAGAGGAAATACGGTAAGTCAACATATACCTTGATATCACTGACAAACTGTCCAAATCGACCTTAAATCGCACTGTCACCCACTCCAAGGTTGTGATTGTCACAAGGATCATGTTTTGTTGTTTTCACCGAACAGATCCACACAGACTACTATCTAGCTGACAATGACATCCGGGCCACCACAAACCGAGGGTGTCGGGGCGGACGAAGTCGTGGAGACGGGGGTCGGGTGTGGGGACTGGATGTGTGGCGTGATCTGCAGAAGAGAAGACGGTGGGTGGTCTGTAAGTATGTCAACGATGACCCATTCCGCATGGAATTAGTTCCCCCCGGAACAAATACTGCCAGTGTAAATGTATCGTGGAAAAAAGTTCCGAGTGAAATTTCCAAGAGATAAAATAATACAAATCAGCAATTTCACACCAGGAACATATACTCTTTGACAAGTACACCGACAGAACTGTGTGGGTATGATTGGCCTAGCGTGACACACTTGTTTGTAAATAACTCAAATGACTGAGTTATGATGTGTGATGACGATTGACCTATCGTGACACACTTGTTTGTAAATAACTCAAATGATTGAGTTAAGATGTGTGCATACGATTGACCTATCGTGACACACTTGTTTGTAAATAACTCAAATGACTGAGTTATGAGGTGTGATGACAATTGACCTATCGTGACACACTTGATGTAAATAACTCAAATGATTCAGTTTACATGTGTGCATACGATTGACCTATCGTGACACACTTGATGTAAATAACTCAAATGACTGAGTTAAGATGTGTGCAAACGATTGACCTAGCTTGACACACTTGTTTGTAAATAACTCAAATGACTGAGTTAAGATGTGTGCATACGATTGACCTAGCGTGACACACTTGTTTGTAAATAACTCAAATGACTGAGTTAAGATGTGTGCATACGATTGACCTAGCTTGACACACTTGTTTGTAAATAACTCAAATGACTGAGTTAAGATGTGTGCATACGATTGACCTAGCGTGACACACTTGTTTGTAAATAACTCAAATGACTGAGTTTAGATGTGTGCAAACGATTAACCTAGCGTGACACACTTGTTTGTAAATAACTCAAATGATTGAGTTAAGATGTGTGCATACGATTGACCTATCGTGACACACTTGTTTGTAAATAACTCAAATGATTGAGTTAAGATGTGTGCATACGATTAACCTAGCGTGACACACTTGTTTGTAAATAACTCAAATGACTGAGGTAAGATGTGTGCATACGATTGACCTAGCGTGACACACTTGTTTGTAAATAACTCAAATGACTGAGGTAAGATGTGTGCATACGATTGACCTATCGTGACACACATGTTTGTAAATAACTCAAATGATTGAGTTTAGATGTGTGCATACGATTGACCTATCGTGACACACTTGATGTAAATAACTCAAATGACTGAGTTGAGATGTGTGCATACGATTTACCTAGCGTGACACCCTTGTTTGTAAATAACTCAAATGATTGAGTTAAGATGTGTGCATACGATTGACCTATCGTGACACACTTGTTTGTAAATAACTCAAATGACTGAGGTTAGATGTGTGCATACGATTGACCTATCGTGACACACATGTTTGTAAATAACTCAAATGATTGAGTTAAGATGTGTGCATACGATTGACCTATCGTGACACACTTGTTTGTAAATAACTTAAATGACTGAGTTAAGATGTGTGCATACAATTGACCTATCGTGACACACTTGATGTAAATAACTCAAATGACTGAGTTGAGATGTGTGCATACGATTTACCTATCGTGACACCCTTGTTTGTAAATAACTCAAATGATTGAGTTAAGATGTGTGCATACGATTGACCTATCGTGACACACTTGTTTGTAAATAACTCAAATGACTGAGGTTAGATGTGTGCATACGATTGACCTATCGTGACACACATGTTTGTAAATAACTCAAATGATTGAGTTAAGATGTGTGCATACGATTGACCTATCGTGACACACTTGTTTGTAAATAACTTAAATGACTGAGTTAAGATGTGTGCATACAATTGACCTATCATGACACACTTGATGTAAATAACTCAAATGACTGAGTTGAGATGTGTGCATACGATTGACCTAGCGTGACACACTTGATGTAATGACTCAAATGACTGAGTTAAGATGTGTGCATACGATTGACCTATCGTGACACACTTGTTTGTAAATAACTCAAATGATTGAGTTAAGATGTGTGCATACGATTGACCTATCGTGACACACTTGTTTGTAAATAACTCAAATGATTGAGTTAGGACGTGTGCATACGATTGACCTAGCGTGACACACTTGTTTGTAAATAACTCAAATTATTGAGTTGAGATGTGTGCATACGATTGACCTAGCGTGACACACTTGATGTAAATAACTCACCAGAGTTAAGATGTCTGGTGACGAATGACCAAAGTCTCAAACACAGGTTAGTAAATAATCCCAACAATGTTATGACTTCAGCAAGCGTACCCAACTGGTTGCTGAACATAAATGTCAACACAAGCGAAGGGACAACCCGCAGCAGTGGGAACACACGGGACATTAACATCACGGACGGACTTTCTCATGGCATCTACCTCACAAACAGGATCAGACGCCCGTGCACAGTGGTGGGTACATACTGCTTAACAGGTGTTGATTTAGAAGGTTTGGGGTGAATAAATAAATGTTGGCATATTTTGGAAAATAGAGATTACTTTAAAAAACTTAATTATTTGTCATCAAAATTTTATCATCAACAACAACAACAACAAAAATTTACGCTTGGCATGCTGGAGTCCTGAAAAAAGATGTGTTCTGAACGGTAACATTTTCGTAAACAATTGCAGTGTCTCTTTAAACACTACCAACAACAACCACCACCCAGTCACAAACCCACCCCAACGACCCCATCCCCACCCCTACCCCAGAATATTAATTGGTGGGTTACCAACAGAAATACCTCGGCGTTTAGTTTAATCTGACACACATCATTCAAGATGTCCAACTTGACGAGTATATTTTTTTGCATTAAACACATGGCAGCGTGTGGTTTTGGACTTCGTCTCCGTGTGTACGTCGAATTACGTGCAACTTAAGTTGGTCCAAAAAACTACCACATGTTCGAGCTACTAGTTCTTGTGTGTGAATGCACCCTAACGCCAAATGTTCACACCCGTGAAGATCCGGGTCATTTTTGGTCTTCGGCAACCCATGCTTGCCGTAAAAGGCGACTATGCATGTCGAAAGAATCGACTAACGGGATTGGTTGGTGAATGCCATCGTATCCCAATTGCGTGGATCGATGCTCATGATGTCATCCCCGGATTGTCTGGTCCAGACTCGAATATTTACAGACCGCCGTCATATGGCTGGAATATTGCTGAGTGCGACGTTAAACAACAGACAAACAACAAAACCACGTGTTGATGGACTGAATGTCTGATTAATATTTCATTACAGGAGATTCCGAATCCTCTTGTTAACGTGAACACCCGAGACGGTGTCTTCCTTCACGAGGGGCGGGCTAGGGTGGAGCGACTCCGACGGCAGTCACCGTTCTACCCTGCTGTCATTGCAATACACCTGGATCTCCCTGACAAGGAACCTTTCACAAAGGTGTTTCTGTGTTCACTGAATTATGCAACCAGCAACAAGATCAATATTTTCATTTTTTTACTGATAAACGAAACTAACATGTCTCGAATATATACTCTTTCTGTGTGGAGGCACGGGTGGCCCAGTCGTCTAAGGCGCCGCGATTCGCTGTGCAGAGTTGCGTCCCTTGGGCACGCCAGAAACCTATGATTGTGGGTTCGAATCCCGGTTCGCCCCGATTATGTTTCTAGGTTTGTCAGCACCATGCCCGTGCTCGTGGGTTTCACCGAAGTGGTAAACATCTGAGACCTGCATCACTTCGGGGTTTCCTCCCACATTAAGCTGACACGCTGTGATATAACTGGAATAATGTTAAAAGCGGCGTTAAACCCAACTCACTCACTCACTTACTTACTCACTCACTCACTCTTTCTGTGTACTGTTTGTTTTTATTATACAACCGGTATAAATAATTCCGTTTTTGAAACAAATATAAACTCGGTGACTGATCACTGTAACAGAAACCAACCTGTCTCGTATATAGAGGTGTATGTAGAGTTGGATGGGGTTTGGTTACACAGGGGGTTCGGTTTAGCAAGGGTTTTAGCTTAGAGAGGTGCTGATGATGTAAGTGTTTTTGGATACAAGGGGTCTGTGAAGAGAGAGGGTTGGTCATAGAGGTGCTAGTGTAAGATGATTGTTCGTTTATAGGGTCTGTCTGGCAAGAGTTTTGGGATATAGTTGATGGATTTGTACAACGAAGGTGTTGGTTGACATGGAGGAATGTGTAGCAATGTTGTTGGTTACAGGGGGGAGAGTTCAGTTACTGGGGATTAAGAGGGAAGGTTTGGTTAACTAATGTGTTAGGTCACAGAGTGGTCGGTGAAGCGAGCGTATTAGGTTAGAGAGGGATCATTGGCCATGGGATGTTTGATTACCGACAGATTTGATTAAAGTTCTTAACAGATAATAACATTTTAACGTTTCAGAAAACATACACGTTTAAAAAACAAAGATTTTAACCTCTAGTTCAAGGAGTTGTCACGCCATCTTGCACGTGTGGTGGAAGAACCGGATGATAGAGGGTTCTTCTTCTGGTTCATCAAACGTCAGAAAGGACAATGGAATACACCAATTAAAGACTCCTTTGCGTATTTCATAGATTTCAAACGGGAGGACATGAAGGTATTTATACTGAATGATGATCTTGTTATTTTGCTTGATATTTATACGGGGGGAACGGGGGGCCCAGTCGTCTAAGGCGCCGCGATTCGCTGTGCAGAGTTGCGTCCCTTGGGCACGCCAGGAACCTATGATTGTGGGTTCAAATCCCGGTTCGCCCCGATTATGTTTCTAGATTTGTCAGCACCATACCCGTGCTCGTGGGTTTCACCGAAGTGGTAAACGTCTGAGACCTGCATCACTTCGGGCTTTCCTCCCACATTAAGCTGACACGCTGTGATATAACTGAAATACTGTTAAAAGCGGCGTTAAACCCAACTCACTCACTCACTCACTCTTATTTGTCCCCAAAACGATATTATCCGTGTAAACCACAATATATGTAAATTTATAACAGTAATGTCCACAGGTGTGTATATTGCACAGCTTATCTATGTATGTATGTCTGTCATGCTGTGTTAAGCAAAACAACGTAATTAATAATCAACCGCCATCATTGAATTGTAATGCATACTATAAGCCTGTGGCCTTCCAGTAAAAAAAGATACATGATTGACATTGAATCCCTGGGTGACAAATATATTTTCTATGTTTACAGTACAAGATACACGCTGGGGATTGTATCAAGTTTGTAGTAGTGTGAGTAGCAGTAGTGTGGACCATCTCTCTCGACACTATAGTGGGATGACACTATACATGCATCAGCATGGTCTATCCTGGTATTATATTCACACCTGGTTTCATTGTCATAAACTGAATCTGTTCATAAGGTACATTTAAACATTCCAATAGGGGCGGTCGGGTAGCCTAGTGGTAAAGCGTTCGCTTGTCACGCCGAAGACCCGGGTTCGATTCCCGACATGGGTACATTGTGTGAAGCCCATTTCTGGTGTCCCCCGCCGTGATATTGCTGGAATATTGCTAAAAGCGACGTAGAACCATACTCACCCACTCACTGAAACGATAATATGGACACGTGCTTCATGTTTGTTTAAAGGATCCGTGAGAGGAATCCTTCGTCTTCTCCACTGCCTTCTCAAAACTCTTCATCGAAGACTTCTCCAGCTTCTTCTCCACTTCCTTCTTCCAGGTAACCTTCATCTTGTCTTCATCATTAATGTGACGATGTGTGTGAGAAAACAAACCTATTTTACCTCATCCCAACTGAAGGTTTACGTGAGTTTATGTCAAAGCGGGTAAAACGTCATCTGATCCTGACCATTCCTTCATCCCGGTTTACTGATAAGTATGTGCGACATCTCCTTTGAAGCCATACGGCCTTTGAGGATTCCAGTTTAGAACAGGTCCCCAACAACACGTGCTGGTCGTACGAGCCGTATAAATGGATCTGAAGGTCAGATTCGGTGACTTAGTCCATTGCGTGCCATCTTTTCTCTATTGCTTGGGACTCGATTATGTTCAAGTCGCCACCATATAGTTAAGATATTGTCGAGTGTGGCGTTAAACAAAAAACAACGAAGCTGAAACTTCAGAACGATGTTCCTCTTAGTCTGATCACAGAATCCGCTACAGCAGCCAGATTAAAAATGTTATTTTGGCAAACTAATCAGCTGTTTCTGATACATATCATTTTGTGGTATTGTTGGTATTGTTAAGGATTTTGAAATTGTCCCGTTAATCTCATTATTTCACACATGTATCGTTGTGCTGATTAATTACGGTCCGCATGTTTGTAGTGTTAAAAGATGTGATATCACGTATTTGATATTTTACTCTTTTATGAACCCTTGCTATGATGCGGCCCCTCTTATCCAGTGACGATTTAGCAACCATGGCTGTCGTAAAAGGCGACTATGCTTGTCATAAGAGGCGACTAACGGGATCGAGTGGTCAGGCTCGCTGACTTGGTTGATGCATCGCATTGTATCCGAATTGCGTAGATCGATGCTGACACAGAATAAATCACTGCATATGGATAAAGAATTTTTGATTAAAATTAAATTATTTTTAACGATTGAATCTTTATGTAAATAATAGTGATTATAAGTTTCTGCTATAGTAACTATCATCTGCACTCACGATTGGTCTCTTTGATCACTATGTTGGGACAACCCATTATCTCAAATCCCGTAAACTGATCTACCAAATGGGATGATACTGAAAACTGATGTATATTATTTGTCTTCTCCTGATGGGTCGGCTCGCTTTCAATGCACTTGATGAGCAACAGTATGTACCGCGACGGCCTATTTAATACTTTCTTATTTACCATTGTATGCCCTTCATGATTTAATTTTGCAATTAGACTGGAAACACTTACATTTCTTTTATAAAGGTTGTAGCCGTTTAGGAGATGTGACGATTACCTTTTTTAATATATTTAGTTATTCTTTCCTTCGACCGCCTCCGTGGTCTAGTGGTAGAGCGTCCGCCCGGAGAGCGGAAGGTCCGGGGTTCGATCCCCGGTCGCGTCATACCAAATGACGTACAAAGATGGTACTTGTTGTTACCCTGTCTGGCGCTCGGCATTAAGGGGCTAAAACAAGGACTAGTCGGCTCGGAGTCAGTATATATCATGTTCAACTGCGGCATGGTATCTCAGTGGGCTAGCACTATAAATCGGCATCAGTCCGGACTAGTACAAGCAGCCACATACACACACGTACATGCACGTCGCTATATAAGTGCAATAATCTTGGACGCGACGTTAAACCCAATTTCACCTCACCTCACCTATAAAGGTTGTAGCCGTTTAGGAGATGTGACGATTACATTTATCAATATATTTAGTTATTCTTTCCATCATATTTGTTCACAGCATGGATAGGAGGCATTCTTCACCTTCTCCAGCACCTTCTCCAGCACCTTCAACAACACCTTCTCCGCATCCCCCGCATCCCCCTCATCCCCCTCATCCTCCAAGGTAATCATTATCTTGTCTTTATCAATACCCAGACAATGTTTATGGGACAAAACGCAGTTGAATGTTTGCAAATGCTGGAAGATGAACAGTAGCACTGCTCAACGTTGGACACAACCTTTTCGCCAGCGCCAAAAAATTAGACCAATACGTGAGTGCGGGTGGCCCAGTCGTCTAGAGCGCCACATTTCACTGTGCAGTTTTCCGTGCCTTAGACGTGCCAGCTATGATCGTGTGTTCGAATCCCAGATTTAACTTGGTGATATTTCTAGGTTTGATAGCACGGCACCCGAGATCGTCAGTTTCGCCAAAGTGGTAAACGTCTTAGACCCGTATAATTTCGGACTTTCCTTCACACTATGCTGAGAGGCTGTGGTATATGATACTGTTCAAAGCGGTGTTAATCCATACTCTCTCACTCACCCACTCAGTAAGTCAGGTCTCGTGGTATATGATACTGTTCAAAGCGGTGTTAATCCATACTCTCTCACTCACCCACTCAGTAAGTCAGGTCTCGTGGTATATGATACTGTTCAAAGCGGTGTTAATCCATACTCTCTCACTCACCCACTCAGTAAGTCAGGTCTCGTGGTATATGATACTGTTCAAAGCGGTGTTAATCCATACTCTCTCACTCACCCATTCAGTAAGTCAGGTCTCGTGGTATATCATACTGTTCAAAGCGGTGTTAATCTATACTCTCTCACTCACCCACTCAGTAAGTCAGGTCTCGTGGTATATGATACTGTTCAAAGCGGTGTTAATCCATACTTTCTCACTCACCCACTCAGTAAGTCAGGTCTCGTGGTATATGATACTGTTCAAAGCGGTGTTAATCCATACTCTCTCACTCTCCCACTCAGTAAGTCAGGTCTCGTGGTATATGATACTGTTCAAAGCGGTGTTAATCCATACTCTCTCACTCACCCACTCAGTAAGTCAGGTCTCGTGGTATATGATACTGTTCAAAGCAGTGTTAATCCATACTCTCTCACCCACCCACTCAGTAAGTCAGGTCTCGTGGTATATGATACTGTTCAAAGCCATGTTAATCCATACTCTCTCACTCACCCACTCAGTAAGTCAGGTCTCGTGGTATATGATACTGTTCAAAGCAGTGTTAATCCATACTCTCTCACCCACCCACTCAGTAAGTCAGGTCTCGTGGTATATGATACTGTTCAAAGCGGCGTTAATCCATACTCTCTCACTCACCCTCTCAGTAAGTCAGGTCTCGTGGTATATGATACTGTTCAAAGCGGTGTTAATCCATACTCTCTCACCCACCCACTCAGTAAGTCAGGTCTCGTGGTATATGATACTGTTCAAAGCGGTGTTAATCCATACTCTCTCACTCACCCACTCAGTAAGTCAGGTCTCATAAATGTTTCTAAACCTGACTAGTTTGCTGTGAAGTATCAAAGTCGTATGAAAAATGTTGTAGTGCGTCATTTGTGAAAATGAAATCAATGACATATGTAGATATGTCCAATTAGATATTTACAAATTGAAATGCGAGATATGTGAAAATGAAGAAGAGGTGATGCTTAGCTTTCATCCTTCATCCTATAGGTGTATATAATTCTATGTGTTGTGTTGCAGACCTCACACACGGGACAGAACGGTTCAAACTGACCGGTACGGTACACAGAAAATGATCGTTTGCTAACTAACCCATGATGTCGTGAACTCAACAATTCCTATTTATTTTATTCTATTACTTTCTACTGAAGACCTAATTAAGTAATCATTATGCTTTTGGTGTTTTTATTGTTGTTACCCTGTCTGGCGCTCTGCATTAAGGGGCTAAAACAAGGACTGGTCGGCTCGGAGTCAATATACTGTGTCTGAGTAGGGTATTCATGTTCAACTGCGGCATGGTATCTCAGTGGGCTAGCACTATAAATCGGCATCAGTCCGGACTAGTACAAGCAGCCACACACACACATACACACACGTACATGCACGTCGCTATATAAGTGCAATAATCTTGGACGCGACGTTAAACCCAATTTCACCTCACCTCACCTATAAAGGTTGTAGCCGTTTAGGAGATGTGACGATTACATTTAACAATATATTTAGTTATTCTTTCCATCATATTTGTTCACATCATGGATAAGAGGCATTCTTCACCTTCTCCAGCACCTTCTCCGCATCCCCCTCATCCCCCAAGGTAATCATTATCTTGTCTTTATCAATACCCGGACAATGTTTATGGGACAAAACTCAGTTGACTGTTTGCAAATGCTGGAAGATGAACAGTAGCACTGCTCAACGTTGGACACAACCTTTTCGCCAGCGGCAAAAATTTAGACCAACACGTTCAGTTTATAAGGGTACGGGTGGCCCAGTCGTCTAGAGCGCCACATTTCTCTGTGCAGTGTTAGGGGGCACGGGGGCCCAGTCGTCTAAGGCGCCGCGATTCGCTGTGCAGAGTTGCGTCCCTTGGACACTCCAGAAACCTATGGTTGTGGGTTCGAATCCCGGTTCGCCCCGATTATATTTCTAGGTTTGTCAGCCAATACCCGTGCTCGTGGGTTTCACCAATGTGGGAAACGTCTGAGACCTGCATCACATCGGGCTTTCCTCCCACATTAAGCTGACACGCCGCGATATAATTGGAATATTGTTAAAAGCGGCGTTAAACCCAACTCACTGTGCAGTGTTCCGTGCCTTAGAGGTGCCAGCTATGATCGTGTGTTCGAATCCCATATTTAACTTGGTGATATTTCTAGGTTTGATAGCACGGCACCCGAAATCGTGAGTTTCGCCAAAGTGGTAAACGTCTAAGACCCGTATAATTTCGGACTTTCCTTCACACCACGCTGAGAGGCCGTGGTATATGATACAGTTCAAAGCGGTGTTAATCCATACTCTGTCACTCACCCACTCAGTAAGTCAGGTCTCGTGGTATATGATACTGTTCAAAGCTGTGTTAATCCATACTCTCTCACTCACCCACTCAGTAAGTCAGGTCTCGTGGTATATGATACTGTTCAAAGCGGTGTTAATACATACTCTCTCACTCACCCACTCAGTAAGTCAGGTCTCGTGGTATATGATACTGTTCAAAGCGGTGTTAATCCATACTCTCTCACCCACCCACTCAGTAAGTCAGGTCTCGTGGTATATGATACTGTTCAAAGCTGTGTTAATCCATACTCTCTCACTCACCCACTCAGTAAGTCAGGTCTCGTGGTATATGATACTGTTCAAAGCGGTGTTAATCCATACTCTCTCACTCACCCACTCAGTAAGTCAGGTCTCGTGGTATATGATACTGTTCAAAGCGGTGTTAATCCATACTCTCTCACTCACCCACTCAGTAAGTCAGGTCTCATAAATGTTTCTAAACCTGACTAGTTTGCTGTGAAGTATCAAAGTCGTATGATCAATGTTGTAGTGCGTCATTTGTGAAAATGAAATCAATGACATATGTAGATATGTCCAATTAGATATTTACAAATTGAAATGCGAGATATGTGAAAATGAAGAGGGGGTGATGCTTAACTTTCATCCTCCATCCTTCATCCTTCATCCTATAGGTGTATAATTCTATGTGTTGTGTTGCAGATCTCACACACGGGACACAACGGTTCAAACTGACCGGTACGGTACACGGATAATGATCGTTTTCTAACTAACGCATGATGTCTTGAACTCAACAATTCCTATTTATTTTATTCTATTACTTTCTACTGAAGACCTATTTAAGTAATCATTATGCTTTTGGTGTTTTTATTGTTGTTACCCTGTCTGGCTCTCTGCATTAAGGGGCTAAAACAAGGACTGGTCGGCTCGGAGTCAATATACTGTGTCTGAGTGGGGTATTCATGTTCAACTGCGGCATGGTATCTCAGTGGGCTAGTACAAGCAGCCACACACACACATACACACACGTACATGCACGTCGCTATATAAGTGCAATAATCTTGGACGCGACGTTAAACCCAATTTCACCTCACCTCACCTATAAAGGTTGTAGCCGTTTAGGAGATGTGACGATTACATTTAACAATATATTTAGTTATTCTTTCCATCATATTTGTTCACATCATGGATAAGAGGCATTCTTCACCTTCTCCAGCACCTTCTCCGCATCCCCCCTCATCCCCCTCATCCTCCAAGGTAATCATTATCTTGTCTTTATCAATACCCGGACAATGTTTATGGGACAAAACTCAGTTGACTGTTTGCAAATGCTGGAAGATGAACAGTAGCACTGCTCAACGTTGGACACAACCTTTTCGCCAGCGGCAAAAATTTAGAACAACACGTTCAGTTTATAAGGGTACGGGTGGCCCAGTCGTCTAAGGCGCCGCGATTCGCTGTGCAGAGTTGCGGCCCATGGACATTCCAGAAACCTATGATTGTGGGTTCGAATCCCGGTTCGCCCCGATTATATTTCTAGGTTTGTCAGCCCCATACCCGTGCTCGTGGGTTTCACCGACGTGGTAAACGACTGAGACCTGCATCACTTCGGGCTTTCCTCCCACATTAAGCTGACACGCCGCGATATAACTGGAATACTGTTAAAAGCGGCGTTAAACCCAACTCACTCACTCACTGTGCAGTGTTCCGTGCCAGCTATGATCGTGTGTTCGAATCCCAGATTTAACTTGGTGATATTTCTAGGTTTGATAGCACGGCACCCGAGATCGTGAGTTTCGCCAAAGAGGTAAACGTCTAAGACCCGTATAATTTCGGACTTTCCTTCACACCCTGCTGAGTGGCTGTGGTATATGATACTGTTCAAAGCGGTGTTAATCCATACTCTCTCACCCACCCACTCAGTAAGTCAGGTCTCATAAATGTTTCTAAACCTGACTAGTTTGCTGTGAAGTAGCAAAGTCGTATGATCAATGTTGTAGTGCGTCATTTGTGAAAACAAATCAATGACATATGTAGATAATATGTCCAATTAGATATTTACAAATTGAAATTCGAGATATCTTAAAATGAAGAAGAGGTGATGCTTAACTTTCATCCTTCATCCTTCATCCTATAGGTGTATAATTCTATGTGTTGTGTTGCAGATCTCACACACGGGACAGAACGGTTCAAACTGACCGGTACGGTACACGGATAATGATCGTTTGCTAACTAACGCATGATGTCTTGAACTCAACAATTCCTATTTATTTTATTCTATTACTAGTAATCATTATGCTTTATGGTGTTTTTTTTCATGTTGCAGGATAATTACAAAGACCCGACAAAATCAAACAAGAGATGAAAACAGGTGTGAAATAAAATATTTATGGCACTGTTTAAAGTTATTCCTCAATCACGACTTATTCGTGATACTGAAGAAGCTATAGGTTAATTATATAATAACTAGTAGAAGGCGTCCATTTGACTGTGACATATACAGAAGACACACTATCAACGCTGTTTCGATATCTTCAAATTCAAAAGGCATCGAAGATGTACATTGCCAAATTTCTGATAATCATATATCTGTCATTTGTCATTAGAATGTAGAACTTATGAATATGGGGGTCAAGAAAATATTAGTCTTTGAGTAATTGTTTCCACGAAATTGATCTCAGTATGTTGCTCGATAGTACTGGTACATTTGATATCGAAATAATGGGTTGTCTGATTAGAAAACGAGAGAGCAGAATACCATTTCTGAACGTACATGTCGTGTAAGGTATGTCTTAAAGTATGTTTAAAACGGCCTTGTGTATCTATTGTTTTTACCATCCAGTCATACTAATACCCACATGTCTAAAGCGCTGTCTAGTAGTAAGGTACAAAAATGTTGTATTTTTTTGTTCTCGTTTGCTGTTATGTTGCAGAATACAGGACCCGTGAAGATCCGGATTTGAATCGGTCTTCAGCAACCCATGCTTGTCGTAAGAGGCGACTAACGGGATAGGGTGGTCAGGCTCGCTGACTTGGTTGATGCATGTCATCGTGTCCCAATTGCGTAGATCGATGCTCATAATGTCAATCACTTGCCCAGACTCGATTATTTACAGACCGCCGTCATATAGCTGGAATATTGCTGAGTGTGGTGCTAAACAACAAACAAACACACAAACACACAAGAAGGATACAGACCAAAATCAGAGAAATAAAAACGATGGAGGATGCGAGGTGTCACATTAATGTCAATAATTCCTTGGACATTTTCACCCATCGTGATAAGATTTAGTCGGGATATTTGGACTGATTGTCTCTTTTAAAATATTTCATGTTGTAAAAATATATCATTTGTTCCAGAATCCAAAACCACAAACAAGTACAAACCAGTGAACCGTCAATTGTCGTACTCGATCCAACCTTTTATGATGATGAGGTAGTTCTGGCCCGTTGGGAGGATGACCGATGGTACTACAAGGGTAAGAAGCATGGCTGTTAGGATTGGTTTCAGCAAACAGTTAGCCCCACTGCGGCATCAGCGTGAGATAAGCTATAACCATTATTCTATTCAGATTCAATTTCTGTAAAACATGAAATCTTAAAAATATATACATATTTTAAAGTAAAAAGTCAACTTTTAGGTTTATCGGTTTTGTCGTCAAATAGTGAAATAAAATTAACTTTTTTTATGTGTGAACTTGTGATTTATGCCATAAGCATAAAAAAAGCTGCATACTTCATCTCAATTCCATCAGATTATTAGTCCGGCTGTTTATGTTATTTTATGACATATTTTTTGAAAAGGTGAAGCAAAAACTCATCCTTTTTTTCGTTTATCATACTATTAACATAAATATATATTGATGATCACCATATACAGAAACATATACACTCCTGATTGGCTTCTTTCTATTCAGGAACAGAAAATACCTTAAATAAATTTGTTGTCATTTGTATAGTTTATTATCATTAAGGGATACTAGTTCTGATTTCAACACGTTTGGGAAACATAGTGGATGTGCCTTTTGCCCTGAAACAGAATGTCTGAGTTCAAATCCTCATCTGGGTGTATTTGTAAATATGGTGCAGCGATATTGCAAAAAGCAGCATACAATTCTCCTCTGTACTCTTAGTTAGGCGTCGTTTTGTCATTACCATATTGTTTTCATTGCAACTATCAGCATATCGGAGAACGTATTAATACAGAAAGAAAAATCAATTATTTGCAATAGTCAGGTATCATTTATAAGCTGCCGAGGGTTGGTGGGATAGCCTAGTGGTTATAGCGTTCGCTCGTCACACAGATGACCCGGGTTCGATTCCCTTAATGATTATATGTGGGACGCCCATTTCTGGTGTCCCCTGCTGTGATACTGAGGGAGTACTGCTAAGAGCGGCGTTAAACCATACCCTCTCACTCACTCACTTTTAGCCGCTGAATCTTTACATCACCTCATCACAATCGTGTTGTTACATGCTTCATCTTCAAGCTTCATCCCTTGTCGTCATTTTGCCATCCTGCTTGATGCTTTTGTAAATCTCTGTGCTTCACCCTCAAGCTTCATGCCCTGTCGTCATTTTGCCATCCTGTTTGATGCTTTTGTTAATCTCTGTGCGTCATCCTCAAGCTTCATGCCTTGTCGTCATTTTGCCATCCTGCTTGATGCTTATAATCTCTGTGCGTCATCCTCAAGCTTCATGCCTTGCCGTCATTTTGCCATCCTGCTTGATGCTTTTGTAAATCTCTGTACTTCATCTTCAAGCTCAATCCCGTGTCGTCATTTTGCCATCCTGCTTGATGCTATTGTTAATCTCTGTGCGTCATCCTCAAGCTTCATCCCTTGTCGTCATTTTGCCATCCTGCTTGATGCTTTTGTTAATCTCTGTGCGTCATCCTCAAGCTTCATGCCTTGTCGTCATTTTGCCATCCTGCTTGATGCTTATGTTTATCTCTGTGCGTCATCCTCAAGCTTCATCCCTTGTCGTCATTTTGCCATCCTGCTTGATGCTTTTGTTAATCTCTGTGCGTCATCCTCAAGCTTCATGCCTTGTCATTTTGCCATCCTTCTTGATACTATTGTTAATCTCTGTGCGTCATCCTCAAGCTTCATCCCTTGTCGTCATTTTGCCATCCTGTTTGATGCTTTTGTTAATCTCTGTGCGTCATCCTCAAGCTTCATGCCTTGTCATTTTGCCATCCTTCTTGATACTATTGTTAATCTCTGTGCGTCATCCTCAAGCTTCATCCCTTGTCGTCATTTTGCCATCCTGCTTGATGCTTTTGTTAATCTCTGTGCGTCATCCTCAAGCTTCATCCCTTGTCGTCATTTTGCCATCCTGCTTGATGCTTTTGTTAATCTCTGTGCGTCATCCTCAAGCTTCATGCCTTGACGTCATTTTGCCATCCTGCTTGATGCTTTTGTTAATCTCTGTGCGTCATCCTCAAGCTTCATGCCTTGTCATTTTGCCATCCTGCTTGATGCTATTGTTAATCTCTGTGCGTCATCCTCAAGCTTCATGCCTTGTCATTTTGCCATCCTTCTTGATGCTTTTGTTAATCTCTGTACTTCATCTTCAAGCTTCATCCCTTGTCGTCATTTTGCCATCCTGCTTGATGCTTTTGTTAATCTCTGTGCGTCATCCTCAAGCTTCATGCCTTGACGTCATTTTGCCATCCTGCTTGATGCTTTTGTTAATCTCTGTGCGTCATCCTCAAGCTTCATGCCTTGTCATTTTGCCATCCTGCTTGATGCTATTGTTAATCTCTGTGCGTCATCCTCAAGCTTCATGCCTTGTCATTTTGCCATCCTTCTTGATGCTTTTGTTAATCTCTGTACTTCATCTTCAAGCTTCATCCCTTGTCGTCATTTGGCCATCCTGTTTGATGCTTTTGTTAATCTCTGTGCGTCATCCTCAAGCTTCATCCCTTATCGTCATTTTGCCATCCTGCTTGATGCTTTTGTTAATCTCTGTACTTCATCTTCAAGCTTCATCCCTTGTCGTCATTTTGCCATCCTGCTTGATGCTTTTGTAAATCTCTGTGCGTCATCCTCAAGCTTCATCCCTTGACGTCATTTTGCCATCCTGCTTGATGCTTTTGTTAATCTCTGTGCGTCATCCTCAAGCTTCATGCCTTGTCATTTTGCCATCCTTCTTGATACTATTGTTAATCTCTGTGCGTCATCCTCAAGCTTCATCCCTTGTCGTCATTTTGCCATCCTGCTTGATGCTTTTGTTAATCTCTGTGCGTCATCCTCAAGCTTCATCCCTTGTCGTCATTTTGCCATCCTGCTTGATGCTTTTGTTAATCTCTGTGCGTCATCCTCAAGCTTCATGCCTTGTCATTTTGCCATCCTTCTTGATACTATTGTTAATCTCTGTGTATATGTAATCTTTGCTATTTAACCATTTCCTACCCACTTGATAAAGATACTGTCATCTGTACTGAAACGTCGCATAGCAGAGTTGCGTCCCTTAGGCATGCCAGAATCCTAGGATCGTGTGTTTGAATCCCAGATTCGCCCAGATGGTCGTAGGCTTCACCAAAGTGGTAAACGTCTGTGACCTGCATCACTTCGGGGTTTTCTACAACATGAAGCTGACACGCCGTGATATAACTGGAATACTGTTCAAAGCAGAGTTAAACCAAACTCACTCACTCTTCATCTAAACAGGGAAGATTGTCCAGCGCCATGATAAAAACTGTTACTCTGTGGAGGATGTCACAGGCCGACGTGACGTCATTAGTAGTAAGCACATCATCCGGACAACTGACCATTACGACGCTGGGTCTACTATCAAGGTAATACCTCGACCGGTTTAATAAGGGTTATTCCTGTGTAACATGCAAGGTGACCGTTTATATGTGTGCGTATGCCTGTATGTGATAATTCCTTTGTGCAGCGTTCGTACGTATTTGTCTGATGTGAGGTTTTGTCGTTGTACGTTGTCTTATGTCTGTCCTTCCGGTTGTGCGTATGCCTCTATGTGATATCTATTTGTCTGTTGTGAGCAAATACGTTTTTAGCTCACCTTATTGAAAGTCAAGCGAGCTTATGTCGTTGCGGTTTGTCCATTGTATGCCTTGTCGGTTGCACGTCCATCCGGCTCCTCTAAGACAGCAATGCCTATGCTGATGAGACTGCATGAATGATCCCAGTTATGGCGTCTCCTGGACCAAGGTAGCCATATTGAAAATGTCCTTTTTGCCGTTACTTAGCCATTTCAGCGCGTTTCATTTGAACCTGATATGCAGTATGCATGTGATATGCAGTATAACATAGAGTACGTAAGTTCCCTTTCTATTACAGAGGGACAGTGTCCAAGTGCTGGCCCCCCATCCTGTATATTACTGGAGCTACGCCCCTGGCAGGGTCATAGAAGCGATTGGTCAGAAACTGACTGTCCGGTTCTATGACAACAATCAGACAAACATCGAGAAATGGGACGTGTATCCTGCCAGGAACCGAGAGAAACATCTCAAGGACGTGGAGGACATTCGCCAGCGAGAGAAAGACTGGGAGGGAAAGGAGGCCGTCATCAGAGACGAGTCAGGGGTGTACAGACTGGGTAGGTCACCAGAGACGAGTCAGGGGTGTACAGACTGGGTAGGTCATCAGAGACGAGTCAGGGGTGTACAGATTAGGTAGGTCACCAGACACACGTCAGGGGTGTACTGACTGGGTAGGTCATCAGAGAAGAGTCAGGGTTGTACAGACTGGGTAGTTCACCAGAGACGAGTCAGGGGTGTACAGACTGGGTAGGTCATCAGAGACGAGTCAGGGTTGTACCGACTGGGTAGGTCACCAGACACACGTCAGGGGTGTACAGACTGGGTAGGTCATCAGAGACGAGTCAGGGGTGTACAGACTGGGTAGATCACCAGGAGAAGACTCAGGGATGTACAGACTGGGTAGGTAACCAGAGACGAATCAAGGGTGTACAGACTGGGTAGGTCACCAGGAGAAGAGTCAGGGGTGTACAGACTGGGTAGGTCACCAGGAGATGAGTCAGGGGTGTACAGACAGGGTAGGTCACCAGGAGAAGAGTCAGGTTGTACAGACTGGGTAGGTCACCAGGAGACGAGTCAGGGGTGTACAGACCGGGTAGGTCACCAGGATAGGACTCAGGGGTGTACAGACTGGATAGGTCACCAGGAGACGAGTCAGGGGTGTACAGACAGGGTAGGTCACCAGGAGAAGAGTCAGGGGTATACAGACTGGGTAGGTCACCAGGAGAAGAGTCAGGGGTGTACAGACTGGGTAGGTCACCAGGAGAAGAGTAAGGGATGTACAGACTGGGTAGGTCACCAGGAGAATAGTCAGGGGTGTACATACAGGGTAGGTCACCAGGAGAAGAGTCAGGTTGTACAGACTAGGTAGGTCACCAGGATAGGACTCAGGGGTGTACAGACTGGGTAGGTCACCAGGAGACGAGTCAGGGGTGTACAGACAGGGTAGGTCACCAGGAGAAGAGTCAGGGGTATACAGACTGGGTAGGTCACCAGGAGAAGAGTCAGGGATGTACAGACTGGGTAGGTCACCAGGACAAGAGTCAGGGGTGTACAGACTGGATAGGTCACCAGAGACGAGTCAGGGATGCTCAGAATGGGTAGGTGACCATAGACGAGTCAGGGTGTACAGACTGGGTAGGTCACCAGATACACGTAGAGACAGGGTAGGTCACCAGAGACAATCAGGAGATGTTCAACCCGTGCACGTCGTCAGGGGTGTACTGACAGGGTTGGTGACCAGAGACGAGTCAGGGGTGTACAGGCTGGGTAGGTAACCAGAGACGAGTCAGGGGTGTACAGACTGGGTAGGTCACCAGAGACGAGTTAGAATAGGTCACCAGACACATCAGGGTGGTACAGACTGGGTAGGTCATCAGAGACGAGTCAGAATAGGTCACCTGACCGAAAGGGGTGTACAGACGGGATAGGTCACCAGAGACGAGTCTGGGGTGTACAGACTGGGTAGGTCACCAGACACACGTAGAGACAGGGTATGTCACCAGAGACGATCAGGAGATATTCAACCCGTGCACGTCGTCAGACACAGAAGGGTATAAGACGTGGGTATCTGTACTGTTTTGATAATTGGGATGCTTCGTGATCCGACCCTAGGTAGAGCCACGAACGAAATGGTGGTCGATAAACAATACTATTACCTTTCTAGGTAAAGTTGAAAAACAGATAGGACGTCAGCAGAGGTACACCGTGACATGGGAGGATGGCAAGTGCGGTGAACAGATGTCCATCCACATCTATGGAACCTTCTCCAAGATGATCAAGTTCAAGGTCGGCAGCTACATCCTGGCACTTGCTGACCCTGACGACAACTATTTCCTTCCGGGTGAAGTGACAAGGGTCCACGAAGATGGAGATGTTCAAAGGCTACACGTGGTGTTTGTCAATGGGAAAAGGTATTACTAGAAGATGGATAAAGGATTCTGTTTTACTTTCATCAAGGCACGGCAAATATACTCTTCAAAAAAAGAAACTTGACATAGATGTAAAACCGCTTTTTGCCAAATATCTAAAATAATTACATTAAATGAGAACCAAATAAGTGTTAAATAAGATGATGTGTCTATAATTCGCGAAAACACATACAAAGCACATAAACGTAGCGTTTGGGGATCAATTTTACAGCTTCATCCAAACGCAACCGCCTGTAAAAAACGTGCAGCACAGGATCCTGCATTTGGGCATGCAGGTCCCCCTGCTGAATGGGTATAAAAATCCACATCAACGGCTGTTCATACAGTCCTTATAACGGCAGTAGAAGCGGTGACAGAATGCCAAGACTGAATGCAGCTCAACGGAACAACGCCATTGGGAGATTACAAGCTGGAGCAACTCAGCAAGAAGTGGCCAGGCACTTTGGCGTATCCAGACAGACTATCTCCGCACTGTGGACCCTATACAACAACACCAACAGAGTTGACGACAGACCAAGGTCGGAAGACCAAGGGTGACAACCCAAGCACAAGATCGATACATCCGGCTGCGACACCTCCGAGACCGCACTACCAGTCACGTCTACAACCACACAGATCCCTGTGGTACGCAGAATATCAGATCAAACGGTACGCAACAGACTGAGGGAGGCTGGACTTTTTGCACGAAGACCTGTTCGACGTCATGTATTGACCCCACGTCATCTGGCGGACCGTCTGCTTTGGTGCCAACAGAGGGTTAGATGGGCACGTGCAAGGTGGAGAAAAAATGTACTGTTTACTGACGAGTCCCGTTTCCTACTCACACGTGCTGATGGGCGCGCACGTGTCTACGTCGGGGTGAATGTTACGCCCCCAACTGTGTGCAGCAGGTTGTCCCATTTGGCGGGAGTGTCATGGTATGGGCCGGGATTCATCACGGTGGTAGGACGCCTCTCGTGCATGTGGCAGGTGCATTGACAGGTGTGCGTTACAGAAATTTGATCCTACAGCCTTACGTTCTTCCTCACGTCAACGTTCATGGCGGAGAGTTCCAGCAGGACAACGATCGACCGCATATTGCACGTGTTTGTCAGGACTTCTTATAGCACAACAACATCCAGACATTACCTTGGCCAGCCCGGTCACCAGATTTGTCCCCGATTGAGCATCTGTGGGACGAGTTGGATCGACGCGTTCGCAGAAGGAATCCACCGCCCCAAACACTTCCGGCGCTTCTTGATGCACTTCAGCATGAATGGCAGCACATCCAACAGCGTGTTATTGACAACTTGATTGCATCTATGGGTCGTCGGTGTCAAGCGGTGATTGATGCACGTGGTGGGCACAACCGATACTGACATTTTCTGTACCCCTGTGACATTAACTGTATCTTTTACGTGTGTCTGTCTAGGTGACACGATTAATGTTTTGAACAGTGTGTACATTGATCTTCAAACAGTGTTTCAATTATGGTTTCTGTGTCCTATTTTGAAACAATAGCATTATATTACATTTTGAAAGTCAGTGTCAAGTTTCTTTTTTTTTGAAGAGTTTAGATTTGAAAACTTGTTTTCTTATCGTGATCAGATTCAAATGTTTAGTTACGGATTACCATCATCTAATAACTTCATCACTTCATCGTCATCATCATCATCATCATCATATCCCATTAACAAGTGGATGCTAATTTCATTTCCATTCCAAAGAGGAGTATATAAGGTGTATGTAGACAATAACACGAGTTGCTGATATCGGAAAACAGCACACGATACGTTTTGTTGCTGTCTCCTATCTCGTTACAAGGACGGTTTCTAAACTTGCTTTATTGAGCGAAAATACGCCTTACACATCCATCACTATTAAGAATGACACTCAACGACAAAGAGATTATTACTCTTGTGTATCCGTATCTTAAATGTTATATATAAGAAATCATTGCTTCCCTTATACAGTAAACTACGGTTATAACGAACTTAAGGGACCACTATATTCAGTTCGTAATAACCGTGTTCGTTATAAGCACATGTACAGCATAATTACAGCAAATGGACAGGACCAAGAACAGTTCGTTATATCCGTCAGTTCGTCATAAGGGCGTTCGTTATAAACGTTACTGTATATGCAATTTTCGGTACTGCATACTACCAACAATTCGTACTCCAACTGTAAAAACAAGATATTTGATGGATGACAACATCTTTATTATATTATGATGCGACGTTTCGGTCTTGTCTTTACTGTTATTTCCCAACTCCTAAAAATGCCAATCACACAGTTCGTATTCCACCAGTTTAAAAGCTTTTGCGTCTCTCTAGGCTCTTTTTACTACTTTCGCCTCATATTTTTTAATTATGAGCCAAAAATGTATTTAATTTTGCCTTCGTTAGTCATACAATAGATTCCTGATAATAATCACAAAAGACCCATTTCAGCAGCAGATAAGACATGTATATGTTTTTTACGATTCAAGAATTGTGTTTTCGGTCCCATATGGTAGCATGTAATAGTGAATAGTGAGTGAGTATGGTTTTACTTGCTTTTAGCAATATTCCAGCAATATCACGGCGGGGGACACCAGAAATGGGCTTCACACATTGTACCCATGTCGGGAATCGAACCCGGGTCTTCGGCGTGACGAGCGAACGCTTTAACCACAAGGCTACCCGACTGCCCCTGTAATAGTGAATATGTGACAAAGGGGGACTAATCTCAGATATCTGGTGCCAAGTTACTGGTTCTAGATTCTGTAATTAATACCTGCAGACACTGCCTCTGTGTAGTTCCTGTTGTTTATTGTTCTGATCTCGGAGTCACCAGCAGTGGAGGTCGAGGGTCTTGAAATACATTGCTGGAGCTGCTAATTTGCCCTTGCCTAGTCCTCCTTTAAATGTCATCCGTGATGTAGGGTTCGGACCCCTTATATGGGTATGTATGTAAAGACAGGGAGGTTCGTCGTCGTGGACTACAGCAGTATTGTATGGAGGCGAACACACCTACTCTGTCACTCACTGATTCTGGTTTCAGGTCAAAGGATGCCCTCTCCACGGATAGTTACTGGATGAATAAGATGGCCTACACTGAGGCGGAGGAGGTGTTTCTGACGCATCACCCCGACAGTAGTGACGAGGAAGAGTTCTCTCGTTAAGAGTCGGCTGCACTCAGCTCATCTCCATCCCATGTATGTCATCTCGGATAACATCTGGAGGAATCCATATTGAAACTAGATTTACCAGTTTCACACTTCGCGTGACTATGACATAATAATATGGCACAATTTCTTTCTCAAAATCGGCCGCCATGTTGTACGAACTTTTCGCCAAGGGATCAGTCGGTGTGCGGTCTACGGTGAATTCATGCAATGTCTCTACACCATTGCTGCCCGAGGTATTATGTAGGTGACGGAGTTTCCCGAGTGGAATTGAATGGACTATACTGCTTGTTAAAACATCTTCTTCTCTGTTTCATCAACGAGTTTTTTTAAATGAAACACGATAACAAACGTTGAAGAGCAGTTACGTTTATTTACAAATAGTCAACAGTACATTTGAGAGTGTGAACATATCATTGCTACTTCAATCAAGCGGGGTGGTTTTCAAATACAGTAAACTACGGTTATAACGAACTCAAAGGGACCACTAATTTTAGTTCGTTATAGCCGTCAGTTCGTTATAAGCGTGTTCGTTATAAACGTAGTTTACTGTATACCAATTGCTGATAGTATCATAGACAGTAAAACCCCGTTAATCCCGACAGTGTGGACTCTAGTGAACTATACCGGGAAAAAAACCTACAGTAATCTACGGTTAAAACGAACTCAAAGGGACCACTGATTTTAGTTGGATATAACTGTAGTTCGGTAAAAGCATATATACAGCAAATGCCCGGGACCAACAATATGTTCGTTATATTCGTCAGTTCGTTATAAGCGTGATCGTTATAAACGTAGTTTACTGTATATACATTAGGAATCTTTGGTCCAGAGAAACATATCTATATGTTGACGTTTTTTACAGTAAAAGTCTGGAGAATAAGGAAGTCCGGTTTACGGGGGGTTCAGTTTATACAATTTATACTGCAGCGGTAGTCATTGGTACAAGGCTCTGCGATTTTAGCCAACAGACTGCGGCGACACGAATGTGGTTAAACTCTGTTATATATACGGCTATTTTATGTACGCTAGGTTTCGTTCTGTCGACTAACCTTCTGAAACCCGAAACCCTCTGCTCTGCTGGTGTTAGTTTGTATGTAACTTCATAGGTATTCTGCAACTTGTGTCATTCGATACCGAAGACCAATGAAACCCATGTTTAATGCCGACCAATCGCATTCACCAAGAAATAGGCCACGACCAGTTTTACTGGTTGAACTCGTTGGTCTACTGGTAGAGCGTCCTCCCGGAGCGGAAGGTCCGGGGTTCGAACCTCGGCCTCGTCATACCAAAAGAAGTTAAAAGATGGTACTTGTTGTTACCCTGCCTGGCGCTCGGCATTAGGGGCTAAAACAAGGACTGGTCTGCTCGGAGTCAGTGTCTGAGTGGGGTATTCATGTTAAACTGCATTATAGTATCTCAGTGGGCTAGCACTATAAAATCGGCACACACACATGGGTGTATGCACGTCGCTTTATAAGTGCGATAATCTTGAACACGACGTTAAACCCCATTTCACCTCACATCACCTACTGAGGTAGACAGAAGCCCAGTCAAACAAGCGATGACGCATTGTGTGAGAACACAATGACGTTGAAGGACTAAAACTGTAGTGATAAATATAATTTGCCAGCCGTGGTAAAACACATTCACTTATTTCAAATATTCTTTGATTCAGAGACCCGCGAAGATCTGGATTAGAATTGATCTTCAGCAACCTAGCTAGAGGCGACTAACAGAATCGGATGGTCAGGCTCGCTGACTTGGTTGATGCATGTCATCGTATCCCAATTGCCTGGATCGATGCTCATGATATCAATCACTGGATTATCTGTTCCAGACTCAATTATGTATAAACCGCCGTCATATAGCTAGAATATTGCTGAGTGTGACGTTAAACAACAAACAAACAATTCTGTGATTCAATATAATTATCTCCTTTTAACTATTTTTGTTCAGGTATTTTGATCAGGTAAATCATGATCGTGTCTAATGAAAGTTGCAGCAGTGTTAAGAAATTATCATTGGTGTTGAATATGACATGATGTTACGTTGTTTTTTTTAAAGATTTTGTAAAGAAAAATAATAAATTGGTACAATACAGTTTTAATGTTGATAAACGTCTCATGTGTATTTTCTTCTTTTTCCATCAAAGAGGTAAAAGGCGAATAACGGGATCGGGTGGTCAGGCTCGCTGACTTGGTTGATTCATGTCATTGATCCCAATTGCGTGGATGATGCCAATCACTGGATTGTCTGGTCCAGACTCGATTATTTACAGACCGCTGTCATACAGCTGGCATAGTGCTGAGTTCGGCGTTAAACAACAAACCATCCAACCAAATCTTCAAAAAGTCCCTGGATGGGAGTAGAATAACTGCGTTTAGCGCCGCTTTAACCAGTATTCCCGTCCAATCAGAACGTGTCAGATTAACGTCGAAAACCAAAGTGTCCGAGCTCTTGACATTTATAGTGAGTGAGTGAGTGAGTGAGTTTGGTTTTTACGCCGCTTTTAGCAATATTCCAGCAATATCACGGCAGGGGACACCAGAAATGGGCTTCACACATTGTACCCATGTCGGGAATCGAACCCGGGTCTTCAGCGTGACGAGCGAACGCTTTAACCACTAGGCTACCCGACCGCCCCGACATTTATAGTGAGAACACCCAGTATCATAATCGGACAGAAGCAGGTATTCACAACATGAAGCTGATCCTGACTGAAAACATTTATTGTATCAATTATTGTTATTAATACATGCACAGCTGTTAATTTTCAATAGTTATCAAGAGTGTATATTTGGAATATACAAACGAAATAACTTTGCTGTTGCTCTTACCGGTGTACTTGTTTTTCGTCGATCGTTCAGTTTTGTTCTACATAATCAACCTATATATTGAACACAATAAAGATAGAAGGAACCGCTAAAATTGCAAAAGAATTTCTGCAAGAGGTAGTTTATCTAAAACCGCCGACTGAGTAAGTGAGGGAGTTGGATTTAACGCCATTATGATCAGTGTCCAAGTAAAATCACGGCGTGTGAGTTTATTGTGTGAGTGAGGGAACTGGATTAGTGAGTGAGTGAGTTGGGGTTAACGCCACTTTTAACAGTATGCCAGTTACATGACGGCTTGTGGGAGGAAAGCCCGAAGTGATGCAGGTCTCAGACGTTTACCACTTCGGTGAAACCCACGAGCACGGGTATGGTGTTGGCAAACCTAGAAACATGACCTGGCGTGCCCAAGGGACGCAACTCTGCACAGCGAATCGCGGCGCCTCAGACGACTGGGCCACCCGTGCCCCCGGGAACTGGATTAACGATGACGCGGCATGTGTATGGTGCTGACAGATAAAGGATCCTAATTAGTGTGTATATGGGATTCAAACTCGTGAACAGAGGATCCTGGTATGCTGAGGGACGTAACTCTCCACGACACCTCTTTGAGGAATGTGTTTCTTTCAGGGTTAATTCTCAGAAATGTTAGAGTTGCAATTGTTGCGAGTTGATCCCCAAATTGACACGCGAAGGTCAACACAGACATGGGTACGCACAGAACTAGCTGGGGAAATCGGTAAAAAAGGACACAAGATGAATGAAAATTAACAAATTATTTTAAAAAAGAAGAAGATAGGGTTTACATTCATAAAAGGCAATACAATGGCACATATGCGGCAGCAGTATTATATAAAAACAGGCCCTAAGTCGGACCACTCACGAATGTTCAGTATGTGCCCCGGCCCGTGAAGATCCGGGGTAGAATAGGTCTCCAGCAACCCATGCTTGCCGTAAAAGGTGACTATGTTTGTCGTAAGAGGCGACTAACGGGATCGGGTGGTCAGGCTTGCTGATTTGGTTGATGCATGTCATCGATCCCAATTGCGTGGATCGATGCTCATGATGTCAATCAAAGGATTGTGTGGTTCAGACTCGATTATTTACAGACCGCCGTCGGGTAGCCGAATGGTCAAAGCGTTCGCCCGTCACGCCGAAGACCCGGGTTCGATTCCCGACATGGGTACAAAGTGCGAAGCCCATTTCTGGTGTCCCCCGCTGTGTTATTGCTGGAATTGCTGAAAGCGGCGTAAAACCATACTCACTCACTCAGTCTAGACGATACTGCCTGAAAAGTAGTTCCTGCCGGAAGTTGATAACTTCACGCGGGCTTTTCTTACCTGCTACCACGTGGCCGAGGATAGGCCTTGTATCAGTGTTTCTTTCCCCATGTGTATTCATACGGATTAATCACTGGTGGAGCTGATATTATTCATTATGAATTAAAGACGGATCAATAACTACTTTGAAGGATATTATTCCTATGTAGGTTCGATTCACATGGACTTTGTACTACAAGATATCAGTGAGTATCCAATTAATGTTACATTAGTAAATCAAAATTTCAACTGGTGAAGTCACACAATTGCTATTATCCGTGGGCCGAAAACTACCAGATACCTATGAAATGTTTGTTTTTACTTTGTTTTATTTCTTTCAATTTGTTGCACTACTTCATTCAAATGTACATGAACCAAGAAAAAAGTATAGTTATATTTTCCATCACTTTAGTGCTACTACAAGGATTAATGGCCCCCATTACGGTATATCATTATATCACTTTGCTGCAGTCTGCCATGTTTCATGAATCTATCAAAATCTGCAATGACGGAAAAGATCAAGATGACATCAATGAACTGTAGGGGTATTCATGACAGGGTTAAAAGACAACAGACATTTAATTTTCTTAAGCGTAAAAGGTCCACAATATACTGTTTGCAAGATGTACATTTTACTGAAGATATGAAACAGACAATATGCCAAGAATGGGGTAACAAACATTGCTTCTTTAGCTCATATAAAAGTAACGCTCGTGGTGTCGCCATACTCGTTTCAAATAATCTTGCGTTTAATCTTAACACTATCTTTTGTGATGATGAGGGCAATATGAGTACAATTGAAATCACGATAGATAAATATAAACTTGGATTGATAAATTTGTATGGACCAAATACTGATGATCCGAAGTTTTATGAAGAACTGAACCTGTTGACAAAATCTTTAAGCAGCGATCACATTGTAATTTGTGGCGATTGGAATGTAGTCCAAGATTTCTTTATGGATACATATAATTACAAGCAGATGAATAATAAAAATGCCCATGAGCGTATTGAGCAGTTCAAAGATGAACTCGACCTAATTGACCCTTGGCGATACAGTCACCATGCAGACAGAAGGTACACCTGGCGACAGCCTACTCCGCTAAAACAGGCTCGACTCGACTATTTCTTAGTTTCCCACAATATGTTATCATCTATAACTAATACATCTATTGAACCCAGTTTCAAGTCAGATTACTCCCCTGTATCGATAACATTCTCTTTGTCAGATATGCAAAGGGGGAGAGGGTATTGGAAATTCAACAATTCGCTTTTGAGAGATCCAGATTATGTGAAAAAAATAAGAAATGTCATATCTGAAACTATACAACAATACAAAAATGATAATAGTGATTCTGCAAATGAATTTTCGATCGATGAACAACTTTTCTTTGAAACTCTTTTATTAATGATAAGAGGAGAAACCATAAAGTACTCTTCTTACAAGAAAAAAGTGAGAAATAAAATAGAACAGGAACTATTGGAAACATTACAATGTAAAGAAATTAAATTGGACGAATGTGAAAAAGAAGATATGAAACAAACTTTATTGAACGAAATCAAGAAATTGCAACTAGAACTAGAAGATATTATAAGGGTAAAAACTCAAGGGCAAATGATAAGAGCAAAAGCAACCTGGATAGAAAAGGGTGAAAAACCAACCTCCTATTTTCTGAGTCTAGAGTCGAGAAATTTTCTGAATAAATCATTCACTAAAATAGAAAATTCAAATGGGCGTTTGCTCGATAATCTAACTGATATTCAAAACGAAGTCAAACTTTTCTATTAAAAAATTAAACGTACAGTCAATTGTACTAGTCTATCATAAAGACCCTGAAACAAATATACCCAATACAGCCCATGCAAGTCTATAAGTCGTATTACTGCAGTATGAGAATGAAGAAAGTCTCTAGGCTCCTTTTTATTATATTTTACAACTATAATTTAACAACTGGTTTTTTTCTCTAAGAGACTAGATGTTAGATTCAAGAGCACATGTTCATGAATGACTATCAAAAAGTGATGACACCAGGTGTTTGCGAAAAACTGAACGTATCCAGTCCCAACGGTGGAACCCGTCACAAACACATGCAAAGGCAAGTTAATCGTTCACCCGATAAAAACACGGGAACATATGGTATAAGTCAAAATAGGGAACTGCATAGAGCATCTACATGTCCTCCACGTGTCTACCATAAAACGATTGGAAAACTTTACTGGGGTTTTGAATGTTGTAATCTTGATTAAACAACTTTTGAGCAAGAGTCGTATGACGCTCGTGGAAAACACGCCTGATAAAATTGCAAAGAGGATTGTTATCCCTTTTTCTGCGAACGCTTTTACCAAAAGGTTAAACCACAGCCCCGTTCTTCCTCGTCCGTAACGTTTTACTCTACCTACTATTTTTTTGTATGTTAGGATACTATGAATGTCTGAAATATATATTTTGTGGCATGATGCTTTTGAAAAATGGTTATGATCATAGTTTTAATTAAACTACCTCGATATATACAGGTAGTTCGTATGAATTAGATATTCAATTTCATATGGAGGCATTTCTAAGGGGCACGACGCCTACAATATTATATCATAGTCACGTGTATTGTGAAACTAGTGCATCTAGTTCTAATATGGATTCCTCCAGAGATGCTTTCCGAGATGACAAAGAGATGAGCTGAGAGGAGCCTACTCTTAACGAGAGTACTCTTCCTCGTCACTACTGTCGGGGTGATGCGTCAGAAACTCATTCTCCGCCTCAATGTAGGCCATCTCATTCATCCAGTAACTATCCGTGGAGAGGGCATCCTTTGACCTGAAACCAGAATCAGTGAGTGACAGAGTAGGTGTGTACGCCTCCATACAATACCCGCTGTAGCCCACGACGACGAACCTCCCTGTCTTTACATATATATATACCCATAGAAGGGTTAGAACCCTATAGCATGGAGGACGTTTTAAAAGAGGACTAGGCAAGGGCAAATTGGCAGTTCCAGCAATGTATTTCAAGTACCTCGACCCCCACTGCTGGCGTCTCCCAGAAATCAGCAGTCAACAACAGGAACTACACAGAGACAATGTCTCACTTTCTGCAGGTATTAATTACAGAATCTAGAACTCAGCAGACAATGTCTCAGTTTCTGCAGGTAATAATTACAGTATCTGGAACCAGGCAGACAATGTCTCAGTTTCTGCAGGTATTAATTGCAGACTCTAGAACTCGGCAGACAATGTCTCAGTTTCTGCAGGTATTAATTACAGAATGTAGAACTAGGCAGACAATGTCTCAGTTTAACGTTATGTCTTATTATGATCAACGAAGGCAAATATGAATTCATTTTTGGCTCACAATTAAATTAAAAATCCTGGGCGGAAATAAAACAGCCTTGTGTTTCTGACAAGGAATGTAACTTCACATTGCAAGCGACATTGGTCATGATGAGAAGCAAACAAGCAGCATCAAGTGTTCACATAAAAAAAGAGAATCTATTTGCTGTGTCTTGATGAAGATAGAACTGAACCCGTTATACATCTTCTAGTAATACCTTTCCCCGTTGACAAACAACACGTGAAGCCTTTGACCATCTCCATCTTCGTGGACCCTTGTCACTTCAACCTGCTCGTTCTCGAGTATACGTTACATGAAGCAAATGTTTTAATCTCTGATCCATGAACTTTGACAGACAAAATAACCAAAAACATCATACATGGAAATAAAAAAAAGCAGACAAACAAATAAATAAAGCAATACCTTCGGCCGTCGATAAAGACGACATCGAGTAGGTCTGCATCTCCTAAGGTTGTGACCTTCCTAACCTGACCCGGAAGGAAATGCGCGCTGTCGCTGTCAACGAGTGCCAGGATGTAGCTGCCGACCTTGAACTTGATCGTCTTGTTGTAGGTTCCATAGATGTGGATGGACATCTGTTCCCCGCACTGACCATCCTGCCATGTTACGTTGTACATCGGCTGACATCCTATCTGTTTGTTTACTCTACCTAGAAACGCAATGGTATTTGATTATGAACCGCCGATCAGTTCGTGGCACTTATAAGGCTCCGATATATACTTATGTTCTACTCGATGTGTCTCTGGTGACCTACCCTGTCTGTACATCCCTGACTCGTCTCCTGATGACCTACCCAGTCCGTACATCCCTGACTCGTCTCCTGGTGACCTACCCAATCTGTACACCCCTGACGCGTCTCTGATGACCTACCCTGTCTGTACACCCCTGACTCGTCTCCTGGTTACCTACCCTGTCTGTACAGCCCTGACGCGTTTAGTGGTGACCTACCCAGTCAGTACACCCCTGACTCGTCTCTGGTGACCTACCCAGTCTGTACACGCCTCACTCTTCTCCTGATGACCTACCCTGTCTGCACACCCCTGACTCGTCTCTGATGACCTACCCAGTCTGTACACCCCTGACTAATCTCCTGGTGACCTACCAAGTCTGTACACCCCTGACTCGTCTCCTGGTCACCTACCAAGTTTGTACACCCCTGACCCGTCTCTGGTGACCTACCCAGTCTGTACAACCCTGACGTGTCTCTGGTGACCTACCCAGTCTGTACACCCCTGACGTGTCTCTGGTGACCTACCCATTCTGTACACCCCTAACTCTTCTCCTGGTGACCTACCAAGTCTGTACACTCTTGACGTGTCTCTGGTGACCTGGGGCGGTCGGGGAGCCTAGTGGTTAAAGCGTTCGCTCGTCACGCCGAAGACCCGGGTTCGATTCCCGACATGGGTACAATATGTGAAGCCCATTTCTGGTGTCCCCCGCCGTGATATTGCTGGTATAATGCTAAAAGCGGCGTAAAATCAAACTCACTCACTCACTCTGGTGACCTACCCAGTCTGTACACCCCTGACGTGTATCTGGTGACCTACCCAGTCTGTACATCCCTGAGTCTTCTCCTGGTAACGTACCCAGTCTGTACACCCCTGACTCGTCTCTGATGACCAACCCAGTCTGTACACCCCTGACTCGTCTCTGGTGACCAACCCTGTCTGTACACCCCTGACTCGTCTCTGGTGACCTACCCAGTCTGTACACCCCTGACATGTCTCTGATGACCAACCCAGTCTGTACACCCCAGACTCGTCTCTGATGACCTACCCAGTCTGTACACCCCTGACTCGTCTCTGATGACCTACCCAGTCTGTACACCCCTGACTCTTCTACTGGTGACCTACCCAGTCTGTACACCCCTGACATGTCTCTGATGACCTACCCAGTCTGTACACCCCTGACTCGTCTCTGATGACCAACCCAGTCTGTACACCCCTGACGTGTCTCTGGTGACCAACCCAGTCTGTACACCCCTGACGTGTGTCTGGTGACCTACCCAGTCTGTACACCCCTGACATGTCTCTGATGACCTACCCAGTCAGTACACCCCTGACTCGTCTCTGATGACCTACCCAGTCTGTACACCCCTGACGCGTTTAGTGGTGATCTACCTAGTCTGTACACCCCTGACGCGTCTCCTGGTGACCTACCCAGTCTGTACACCCCTGACGTGTGTCTGGTGACCTACCCAGTCTGTACACCCCTGACGTGTGTCTGGTGACCTACCCAGTCTGGACACCCCTGACGTGTGTCTGGTGACCTACCCAGTCTGTACACCCCTGACGTGTGTCTGGTGACCTACCCAGTCTGTACACCCCTGACGTGTGTCTGGTGACCTACCCGGTCTGTACACCCCTGACTCGTCTCTGATAACGGCCTCCTTCCCCTCCCAGTCTCGCTGTTGAATGTCCTCCACGTCCTTGAGATATTTCTCCCGGTTCCTGGCAGGATACACGTCCCATTTCTCGATGTTTATCAGCTTGTTGTCATAGAACCGGACAGTCAGTTTCTGACCAATCGCTTCTATGACCCGGCCAGGGGCGTAGCTCCAGTAATATACAGGATGGGGGGCCAGCACATGGACACGGTCTCTCTGGGATAAAAAGGGAACTGACTCACTCGTGGTTTCCACAAAGTACTGGTTACACAGAGGAAGAAAATGGTTGAACATTTTTACAAGTTCATGAAGATGTGTGTTTATCCACGCGGTCGGTAACATTCCATGCAACTATAAGTCGGCGGCCTTTAAATAATCGAGTCTGGACCAGACAAACCAGTGACTGATATTATAAGCAACGTTCCACGCCCATTTATGACCAACCCGTGTCATTGAGGGACATGCCACTTCTTTAAGGTTACGAGTGAGTGAGTGAGTTGGGTTTAACGCCGCTTTTAACATTATTCCAGTTACATCGCGGCGTGTCAGCTTAATGTGGGAGGAAAGCCCGAAGTGATGCAGGTCTCAGACGTTGACCACTTCGGTGAAACCCTCGAGCACGGGTATGGTGCTGACAAACCTTGAAATATAATCGGAGTGAACCGGGATTCGAACCCACAATCATAGGTTTCTGGCGTGCCCAAGGGACGCAACTCTGCACAGCGAATTGCGGCGCCTTAGACGACTGGGCCACCCGTGCCCCCTTAAAGTTACGAAAGGATGCCGGTGGTGACAAATGGTCCTTTGCCGCCGGGGTACGACTACACGCAATCATGCAAATCCCAGACAAACAGATCCATTAAGTCCCACCGTATGACGGGTATTTGTTCCATGGACGCTTGGTCGCTCGTCACGCAGAAGACCCGGGTTCGATTCCCGACATGGGTACAATGTGTGAAGCCCATTTCTGGTGACCTCCGCCGTGATATTGCTGATATATTGCTAAAAGCGGCGTAAAACCATACTCACTCACTCACTCATTCCATGGACCCTTTGCTAACCCGGAAGTCCCAGGGGGACGACAGAGGTTCTAACAAATTAACAAATACGCGAAACACCATTCTCAGACACAAGGATACAGAGAATAAAGAAGTTTGGGACTGTTTGGACTTCTCTGTTTTCTGGAAATACAAAATATAGGATGGTTAACCTTCGCCTGGACCATCCTCCCGACAGCCGACAGTTAAGTCTGATTTCCATGGCAACCGTGTCTGATAATGCCCAATTTGTGGATATACTTTGATGACTGGCTAGTGTGAGGTCGGGGGATACATGACCCGTGAAGATTCCGGGGTAGAATAGGTCTTCAGCAACCCATGCTTGCCGTAAAAGGTGACTACGCTTGTCGTAAGAGGCGACTAACGGGATCGGGTGGTCAGGCTCGCTGACTTGTTTGATGCATGTCATCGTATCCTAATTGCGTGAATCGATGCTCAAGATGTCGATCAATGGATTGTCTGGTCCAGACTCGATTATTTACAGACCGCAAAAATCTAAATATTGTAGACGGCACACCACATGCAGAGAACCAGTTTTAAGATGATGCATGCAGAAATGACCGGGTAATGGCCAAAAATGACATTTGCATATGATCTCTGTAGTTTCGGATTAGATGTCAAAAATACAAAAGATAACGATGTACGGACAACCGGAAGGACAGACATAAGACAACGTACAACGACAAAAGCTCACATCAGACAAATACGTACGAACGCTGCACAAAGGAATTATCACATACAGGCATACGCACACAAATAAACGGTCACCTTGCATGTTGCACAGGTATAACTCTTATTAAACCTGTGGAGGTATTACCTTGATAGTAGACACAGCGTCGTAATGGTCAGTTGTCTGGATGATATGGTTACAACAGGCAAATATGCATGAACGCGCACTCTATCTAGCCCACAACAAATTCTCACACTCACAAACACACAAGCACATGCACAATTGTTTCATTTGCAAGATACACTTAAATAACCTTCACTATGCCGTTGACCAGTATGTATGTTATACAATGGCGTGGGAGGAAAGTTGGAAATGGTACGGTTCTTAGACATAACCACTTTGGCGAAACCAGCGGGCGGTACTGTCAAACCTAGAAAAATATTCTGTTGAATCCGGAAATTTGAATCCAGGAGAATGTCTTTCTGGCACACCTAAGGGAGGCAACTCTGCACAATGAAGTGTGGCGCCTCAGACGATTGGGACATCATACCCTAGATTTTTGCCGCTGGGGAAAAGATAGTGTCTGACGTTTAACACGTTTCACATAAATGGCCCTCACTAAAGCTCTTCCGTTATTACCTTATCAGGAGACACAGCGTCGTAATGGTCAGTTGCCCGGATGATATCCTCCCAATTGATGACGTCACATTGGCTTGTGCTATCTTTCACGCAGTAGTAGTTGTTCACATCATAGCGCCGGGCGATCCTTCCTGTAAAGGTAGAATAGGTCTTCAGCAACCCATGCTTGACAGAAAAGGCCACTATGCTTGTCGTAAGAGGTGACTGACTGGATCGGGTGGTCAGACTCGCTGACTTGTTTGATGCATGTCATCGTATCCCAATTGCATGGATCGATGCTTATGATGTCAATCACTGGATTGTCTGGTCCAGACTCGATTATTTACAGACCGCCATCATATAGCTGGAATATTGCTGAGTGCGGCGTTAAACAACAAACCAACCAACCTTCCTTTAAAGACGAAGAATGAGGGTGTGAGTTAATTAACGTGCCACTTTGAAGAGTATTCCTGATGTATTACGGTGTGTCAGCTTAACGTGGGAGGAAATCCCTAATCAATGCAGATCCCTTACGTTAACTGCTCAGGTAAAACCCACGATGGATGTAATCAGTGCGAATCAGGGATTCGAACGTACGATCCTAGGATTCTGTCATACCTAAGGGACGTAACTCTGCAATGCGACGTGTCGGTACAGATAATAGTAGGTTTATCAAATGGGAAGTAAATGGTTAAATAGCAAAGATGTTTATTCTCAGAGATTGACAAAAAGCAACATAGCAGGTGAGTGAGCCAAGTTTATTTATTTTTCAGCATTATCACAACAGGGAACATCAGAAACGTGTCAGTGTGGGGAATCATACCCCTGACTTCTATGTGATGAGCGATCGCTTCAACTACTAGGATACCCTATCACCCATCAGCAGCTTATGCCACGTGACTATATTTCTCAAAGAAAATCCAACTTCGAGTCGTCTTTCAATGTTAATACGTTATCAGATAATTAATAATTGCAATGAAAACAATATCAGTCCTGAGCAAAAATATGGAAGAGAATTGTAAACAGTATTTTGCCATATCGCGGCACCATCTTCACAAATGAATAATAACTGTGGCTTCTCTCACATTTATAATGACGCAGTGAGGCTAACTGTGTGCTGAAACCAATCCTAACAGCCATGCTTCTTACCTTTGTAGTACCATTTGTCATCCTCCCATCGGGCCAGAACTTCCTCACCATCATAAAAGGTCGGACCAGGATCAATGAATGGTTCTTGGTTTCTGGAACAAATTATAAACATTAAACTACGGTTATAACGAACACGCTTATAACGAACTGACGGTTATAACGAACACGCTTATAACGAACTGATCGATATAACGAACTTACTTTTTGGTCCCGACTACTTGTTGTAGTCATGCTGCATATGTACTTATAACGAACTACGGTTATAACGAACTAAAATTAGTAGTCCCTTTGAGTTCGTTATAACCGTAGTTTACTGTATATTATTACAGACACCATTGGTTCACGTATCACTGCAAATTATCGACGTGTCATGAGGAAAATTGTCGAAATAATTATGTTAATGGCCATGCTGGTTTCCTCTACTGTCTGTCTGTTTTGAGGACTTACCCTGCAACTTAAATAACGAACGTAAATTAATTTTATGCGAAACATATGTTTTGTACATCACTACATAACTGCTTCAGACATGTCGGTCGGTGATGAAGGATGGAAGAGAGATACACTATGCCCTTTAATACATCCTTTACCAGGGTCTTCAATGACATATGGGGGCACGGGTGGCCCAGTCGTCTCAGGCGCAGCGACTCGCTGTGCAGAGTTGTGTCCCTTAGGCACGCCAGAAACCTATGATTGTGGGTTTGAATCCCGGTTCGCCCCGATTATGTTTCTAGGTTTGTCAGCACCATACCCGTGATTGTGGGTTTCACCGAAGTGGTAAACGTCTGAGACCTGCATCACTTCAGGCTTTCATCCCACATTAAGCTGACACGCCGTTTTATGACTGGAATAATGTAAAAAGCGGCGTTAACACAACTCACTCACTCACTTGTACTAGTCCGGACTGATGCCGATTTATAGTGCTAGCCCACTGAGATACCATGCCGCAGTTTAACAGGAATACCCCACTCAGACACAGTATATTGACTCCGGGCCGACAAGTCCTTGTTTTAGCCCCTTAGTGACGAGCGCAAGACAGGGTAACAACAAGTACCATCTTTTAACGTCTTTTGGTATGACGCGGCCGGGGATCGAATCCCGGACCTTCCGCTCTCCGGGCGCACGCTCTACCACTAGACCACGGAGACGGTTCACGAAGTATGAATATCCTTACAAGACAAAGATACTTTCAGTTTCTCTCGATCTTTTGCAACGATGGGTATCTGTCAAAATGATTGAACTGTTATTAAACAGTGTCATACACAATCAGTTCCTTTGCTACATTGACTAGTATAGTCGCATACCACGTTAGACTATAACTGGAGTGTGGTGCAACGGCTTACAACAGAAATATTTTCTTTGGTATTTCAGTTATACAATAGCGTAGGAGGAAAGTTGGAAATGAAACGGTTCTTAAACTACCACTTTGGCGAAACCCACGAGCTCGCGGGCGTACTGTCAAATTTAGACAAATATTCTGGTGAATCTAGGATTTGAGTCCACGAGCATGTCTTTCTGGCACACCCAAGGGACGCAACTCTGCACAAAGAAGTGTGGTGCTTCAGACAACTGGGCCACTATACTCATTATTAACTGCACGTGTTCTAGATTTTTGCAGCTGGTGAAGGGTAGTGTCTGACGTTATCAGTGCTAATGTTCATCTTCCAATATTTTCAGCCCAACTGAGTTTCGCCCCATGAACATTGCCCGGGTATTGATAAAGACAAGATAATGATTACCTTGGAGAAGGAGGAGGATAAGGAGGGCGTGGAGGATCCCTTCTGCCAATGCTGTGAACAAGTATTAAAGTAGAAAAGATTAGATAGAAATCTTAATAGATAAAATCATAACAAAACCTTATGCGACCACAAACTTTATAAAGTATACATTCAGACACAAGGGTATTCTGTTGTTCACGCTGTACTAATTGCAACATTAACATTTTAAGGTTAATAAAGGGTAAACAGGAATATCAGAATGTTGTAACAACAGGCTTAAACATTAACAACAAAACATAATGAAACGTCGCGCTCAAGATCATTACGCTTACATAGCGACGTGTGTGTGCGTGTATGGCTTCTTGTTCTAGTCAAGACCTATGCCCATTTAATAGTGCTAGCTCACTGAGATACCATGCCGCAGTTTAACATCAATACCCCACTCAGACACAGTATGCTGACTCCGAGCCGACAAGTCCTTGCTTAGCCCCTTAAATCCGAGTGCCAGGCAGAGTAACAACAAGTACCATCCGGGCGCACGCTCTACCACTAGACCACGGAGACGGTTCACGAAGTATGAATATCCTTACAAGACAAAGATACTTTCAGTTTCTATCGATCTTTTGCAACGATGGGTATCTGTCAAAATGATTGAACTGTTATTAAACAGTGTCATACACAATCAGTTCCTTTGCTACATTGACTAGTATAGTCGCATACCACGTTAGACTATAACTGGAGTGTGGTGCAACGGCTTACAACAGAAATATTTTCTTTGGTATTTCAGTTATACAATAGCGTAGGAGGAAAGTTGGAAATGAAACGGTTCTTAAACTACCACTTTGGCGAAACCCACGAGCTCGCGGGCGTACTGTCAAATTTAGACAAATATTCTGGTGAATCTAGGATTTGAGTCCACGAGCATGTCTTTCTGGCACACCCAAGGGACGCAACTCTGCACAAAGAAGTGTGGTGCTTCAGACAACTGGGCCACTATACTCCTTATTAACTGCACGTGTTCTAGATTTTTGCAGCTGGTGAAGGGTAGTGTCTGACGTTATCAGTGCTAATGTTCATCTTCCAATATTTTCAGCCCAACTGAGTTTCGCCCCATGAACTTTGCCCGGGTATTGATAAAGACAAGATAATGATTACCATGGAGAAGGAGGAGGAGGATGTGGAGAATAAGGAGGGCGTGGAGGATCCCTTCTGCCAATGCTGTGAACAAGTATTAAAGTAGGAAAGATTAGATAGAAATCTTAATAGATAAAATCATAACAAAACCTTATGCGACCACAAACTTTATAAAGTATACATTCAGACACAAGGGTATTCTGTTGTTCACGCTGTACTAATTGCAACATTAACATTTTAAGGTTAATAAAGGGTAAACAGGAATATCAGAATGTTGTAACAACAGGCTTAAACATTAACAACAAAACATAATGAAACGTCGCGCTCAAGATCATTACGCTTACATAGCGACGTGTGTGTGCGTGTATGGCTTCTTGTTCTAGTCAAGACCTATGCCCATTTAATAGTGCTAGCTCACTGAGATACCATGCCGCAGTTTAACATCAATACCCCACTCAGACACAGTATGCTGACTCCGAGCCGACAAGTCCTTGCTTAGCCCCTTAAATCCGAGTGCCAGGCAGAGTAACAACAAGTACCATCCGGGCGCACGCTCTACCACTAGACCACGGAGACGGTTCACGAAGTATGAATATCCTTACAAGACAAAGATACTTTCAGTTTCTATCGATCTTTTGCAACGATGGGTATCTGTCAAAATGATTGAACTGTTATTAAACAGTGTCATACACAATCAGTTCCTTTGCTACATTGACTAGTATAGTCGCATACCACGTTAGACTATAACTGGAGTGTGGTGCAACGGCTTACAACAGAAATATTTTCTTTGGTATTTCAGTTATACAATAGCGTGGGAGGAAAGTTGGAAATGAAACGGTTCTTAAACTACCACTTTGGCGAAACCCACGAGCTCGCGGGCGTACTGTCAAATTTAGACAAATATTCTGGTGAATCTAGGATTTGAGTCCACGAGCATGTCTTTCTGGCACACCCAAGGGACGCAACTCTGCACAAAGAAGTGTGGTGCTTCAGACAACTGGGCCACTATACTCCTTATTAACTGCACGTGTTCTAGATTTTTGCAGCTGGTGAAGGGTAGTGTCTGACGTTATCAGTGCTAATGTTCATCTTCCAATATTTTCAGCCCAACTGAGTTTCGCCCCATGAACTTTGCCCGGGTATTGATAAAGACAAGATAATGATTACCATGGAGAAGGAGGAGGAGGATAAGGAGGGCGTGGAGGATCCCTTCTGCCAATGCTGTGAACAAGTATTAAAGTAGGAAAGATTAGATAGAAATCTTAATAGATAAAATCATAACAAAACCTTATGCGACCACAAATTTTATAAAGTATACATTCAGACACAAGGGTATTCTGTTGTTCACGCTGTACTAATTGCAACATTAACATTTTAAGGTTAATAAAGGGTAAACAGGAATATCAGAATGTTGTAACAACAGGCTTAAACATTAACAACAAAACATAATGAAACGTCGCGCTCAAGATCATTACGCTTACATAGCGACGTGTGTGTGCGTGTATGGCTTCTTGTTCTAGTCAAGACCTATGCCCATTTAATAGTGCTAGCTCACTGAGATACCATGCCGCAGTTTAACATCAATACCCCACTCAGACACAGTATGCTGACTCCGAGCCGACAAGTCCTTGCTTAGCCCCTTAAATCCGAGTGCCAGGCAGAGTAACAACAAGTACCATCCGGGCGCACGCTCTACCACTAGACCACGGAGACGGTTCACGAAGTATGAATATCCTTACAAGACAAAGATACTTTCAGTTTCTATCGATCTTTTGCAACGATGGGTATCTGTCAAAATGATTGAACTGTTATTAAACAGTGTCATACACAATCAGTTCCTTTGCTACATTGACTAGTATAGTCGCATACCACGTTAGACTATAACTGGAGTGTGGTGCAACGGCTTACAACAGAAATATTTTCTTTGGTATTTCAGTTATACAATAGCGTAGGAGGAAAGTTAGAAATGAAACGGTTCTTAAACTACCACTTTGGCGAAACCCACGAGCTCGCGGGCGGTACTGTCAAATTTAGACAAATATTCTGGTGAATCTAGGATTTGAGTCCACGAGCATGTCTTTCTGGCACACCCAAGGGACGCAACTCTGCACAAAGAAGTGTGGTGCTTCAGACAACTGGGCCACTATACTCCTTATTAACTGCAACGTGTTCTAGATTTTTGCAGCTGGTGAAGGGTAGTGTCTGACGTTATCAGTGCTAATGTTCATCTTCCAATATTTTCAGCCCAACTGAGTTTCGCCCCATGAACTTTGCCCGGGTATTGATAAAGACAAGATAATGATTACCATGGAGAAGGAGGAGGAGGATGTGGAGGATAAGGAGGGCGTGGAGGATCCCTTCTGCCAATGCTGTGAACAAGTATTAAAGTAGGAAAGATTAGATAGAAATCTTAATAGATAAAATCATAACAAAACCTTATGCGACCACAAACTTTATAAAGTATACATTCAGACACAAGGGTATTCTGTTGTTCATGCTGTACTAATTGCAACATTAACATTTTAAGGTTAATAAAGGGTAAACAGGAATATCAGAATGTTGTAACAACAGGCTTAAACATTAACAACAAAACATAATGAAACGTCGCGCTCAAGATCATTACGCTTACATAGCGACGTGTGTGTGCGTGTATGGCTTCTTGTTCTAGTCAAGACCTATGCCCATTTAATAGTGCTAGCTCACTGAGATACCATGCCGCAGTTTAACATCAATACCCCACTCAGACACAGTATGCTGACTCCGAGCCGACAAGTCCTTGCTTAGCCCCTTAAATCCGAGTGCCAGGCAGAGTAACAACAAGTACCATCCGGGCGCACGCTCTACCACTAGACCACGGAGACGGTTCACGAAGTATGAATATCCTTACAAGACAAAGATACTTTCAGTTTCTCTCGATTTTTTGCAACGATGGGTATCTGTCAAAATGATTGAACTGTTATTAAACAGTGTCATACACAATCAGTTCCTTTGCTACATTGACTAGTATAGTCGCATACCACGTTAGACTATAACTGGAGTGTGGTGCAACGGCTTACAACAGAAATATTTTCTTTGGTATTTCAGTTATACAATAGCGTGGGAGGAAAGTTAGAAATGAAACGGTTCTTAAACTACCACTTTGGCGAAACCCACGAGCTCGCGGGCGGTACTGTCAAATTTAGACAAATATTCTGGTGAATCTAGGATTTGAGTCCACGAGCATGTCTTTCTGGCACACCCAAGGGACGCAACTCTGCACAAAGAAGTGTGGTGCTTCAGACAACTGGGCCACTATACTCCTTATTAACTGCACGTGTTCTAGATTTTTGCAGCTGGTGAAGGGTAGTGTCTGACGTTATCAGTGCTAATGTTCATCTTCCAATATTTTCAGCCCAACTGAGTTTCGCCCCATGAACTTTGCCCGGGTATTGATAAAGACAAGATAATGATTACCATGGAGAAGGAGGAGGAGGATGTGGAGGATAAGGAGGGCGTGGAGGATCCCTTCTGCCAATGCTGTGAACAAGTATTAAAGTAGGAAAGATTAGATAGAAATCTTAATAGATAAAATCATAACAAAACCTTATGCGACCACAAACTTTATAAAGTATACATTCAGACACAAGGGTATTCTGTTGTTCATGCTGTACTAATTGCAACATTAACATTTTAAGGTTAATAAAGGGTAAACAGGAATATCAGAATGTTGTAACAACAGGCTTAAACATTAACAACAAAACATAATGAAACGTCGCGCTCAAGATCATTACGCTTACATAGCGACGTGTGTGTGCGTGTATGGCTTCTTGTTCTAGTCAAGACCTATGCCCATTTAATAGTGCTAGCTCACTGAGATACCATGCCGCAGTTTAACATCAATACCCCACTCAGACACAGTATGCTGACTCCGAGCCGACAAGTCCTTGCTTAGCCCCTTAAATCCGAGTGCCAGGCAGAGTAACAACAAGTACCATCTTTTAACGTCTTTTAGGATCGATCCCCCGACCTTCCGCTCTCTTGGCGGACGCTCTACCAGTAGACCACGGAGGCGGTGGCAAATCTCAAAGATCTTTAGGGTGTGTTTCTCGTTTGACGCCACACTCAGCAATGGTCCAGCTGTATGATGGCAACCAAGTAACCGAATTTGAATACCCGATCCATTTAGTATTAGATCTCTTATGGCCACCGTATTGTAACCTGGAATCCCCGCGGGGTTCGCCTTTATTGTATTGTTTCAAGATGATGTTGCAGATACTGTATCAGCATACCGGGATGAAGGAAAGGTCAGATGAAGTAAAACCAGCCCTGATTTACGCTCACTTAAACCTTCAGTTGAGGTGAGGTAAAATACGGTTTGATTTATCATACACATCGTCAGATTTAGGATGAAGACAAGATGAAGATACATGGAAGGAGGTTGAGAAGGAGTTGGAGAAGGCGTCGATGAAGAGCTTTGAGAAGACAAAAGATTCCTCTCACTGATCCTTTAAAGAAACATGAAGCTCATCTATAGTATCGTTTAATGTATTTCAGAAGATTGAAGTGATTGAATGTATGTTATGAGTAGATTCAGCTCACGAGAATGAGACCATGCGTGGCTATAATACCAGGATAGATCAAGTTCATGCATTTAGAGTGTCAGCCCAATTACGTCGAGAGAGATGGTCCACACTACTGCTACTCACACTACTACGAACTTGATACAATCCCTGGCGTGGAACTTGTGCTGTAAACATAAAATAATGTATTTGTCAACAACCAGGGATTCAATATCAATCATGTATCTGCTGTTACTATAAGACAACAGCACACATTACATTTCAAAAATGGCGGTTGATTATTAACTACACGATGTCTTGTCTAACGCTGTATGACAGACATACGTAGATAAGTTGTGGTATGTTCGTGTGTGTGTTGTGTTTAACGCCGCTTTTAACAGTATTCGCGTTATATCACGGCGTGTCAGCTTAATGTGGGAGGAAAGTGATGCAGGTCTCAGACGTTTACCACTTCGGTGAAACCCAGAAGTACGGGTATGATGCTGACAAACCTAGAAACATAATCAGGGCGAACCGAGATTCGAACCCACAATCATAGGTTTCTGGCGTGCCCAAGGCACGCAACTCTGCACAGCGAATCGCGGCGCCTTAGACGACTGGGCCACCCGTGCCCCCTGTGGTATATTTAAAGTTTAATTTGGACATTACTGTTATATAAATAAATTGATATTTGTTCGGCTTTACTGAAATATTACTCGAGATATATACCACGGGTAATATTGTATTTGGGGCAAATAAAAAAATATACTCATCTTCGATAGATCTTAGCTGTACATTTTTTACATATCATTTTTTTATCCTTTAAGATCATGGCTGATAATATCAATGACTGACTTGTAGGGTCGAACACACGACTATTTACAAACCGCCATCATACAGGTGATATAGTGTCCGGTGTTAAATATCAACCGCAAGATCCTCACTAAATATAAATACCTTCATGTGTTTCACGTTGAAATCTATGAAATAAAGAGATGAGTCTTTAACTGGTGTATTCCATTGTCCTCTCTGACGTTTGATGAACCAGAAGAAGAACCCTCTATCATCCGGTACTTCCGCTACACGGGCAAGATGGTTTGACAAGTCCTTAAACTGGAGGTTAAAGACTTTGCTATTGAAACGTGTATTTTTATAAAGGCGAAAAAAGCGGTTGTATGGCTGGATATTTGTTCAGTGGTGTGTGTACCCTTTAATCCAACACACTAGTGACGACTCTCGCTAAAGAAACCCCTCAATAAACCACCACTCTTGTTAAAACGCCATCTCTATATTCAAACTCTCTCGCCACACCGACCCCAATTTAACCCAAACGCCTCGCTACATCTTCCTCTACACTTCAGTTAACAAAACATTCCTTCTCAATCCTCAAACTGAACACTCTCCCTACACAAAACACCGCGTCACCCTTAACATCGCAACACATTCCCCTTTGTATCATAACACCCTCGCTAAACAGGCCCCTCTGGGATCTGAAAACTATTGCTACACAAGAGCCCATACAAACAACCCTCTCTCTACAAAGACCCCTTGTAACTCAACACTCTGGCAACCAACAACAATGTTTACACGAGCACATCTAAACAATCCAAACATTCTCAATACACCAGGCCCTCAATAAGCCAAACTCTTTGCTACACCGACCCTCTCTGCTACCAAACCCATTCGAAGCTATATTCGAGAGGGGTAAGTTTAATTTACAGTCATCAGTAAATAAATGAAAATATCGATCTTGTGGCTGGTAATTCAGTGTAAATAGAAACACCTTTCTGAAAGGTTCCTCATCGGGGAGATCCAGGTGTATTGCAATGACAGCAGGAGAGAACGGTGACTGCCGTCCGAGACGCTCCAACTTGGCCCGCTCCTCGAGAAGGAAGACACCGTCTCGGATATTCACGTTAAGAAAGGGATACGGATCAGGAATCACCTGTAATGAAACGTAAATCGGACATTCAGTCCATCAACACGTGGAATTGGAGTGCATTGACACACTGCAACTAGTATCTCCAACATGTGGTAGTTATTTGGACCCACTGAAGTTTCATGCAACACGACATTCACACGGCGCGGCGAGTTCCAGGTCCACACGATGCCATATATTGGATGCAAAATTTGTATTCAGAAATCACAAATGTTTGGGAGATTAAGTCAGATGCTGACGTTTATTTCCGTTAGGGACCCATCATGTATTATTCTAGGTGTGGGTGCAGGTGGTTTCTGGGAGATGTGTAGAGACGGTCAACTGTTTCATGCAAGGATCTGAACATTTATGTCACAACACATGTTTTAGGGACATGCAGCCTACCACGTGTGTGTGTGTATATATATATATATATATATATATATATATATATATATATATATATAGCACATATAGAGCACAGTAAAGTATATATATATATATATATATCCTTAGAACAAATTACTTTTTGCCAGATTCTTTAAAAGATATCCTAAACATTTATTTATTCACCCCAAACCTTCTTAATCAACACCTGTTAAGCAGTATGTACCCACCACTGTGCACGGGCGTCTGATCCTGTTTTTAAAGTAGATGCCATGAGGATGTCCGTTCGGGATGTTCCCACTGCTGCGGGTTGTCCCTTCGCTTGTGTTGACATTTATGTTCAGCAACCAGTTGGGTACGCTTGCTGAAGTCATAACATTGTTGGGATTATTTACTAACCTGTGTTTGAGACTTTGGTCATTCGTCACCAGACATGTCAACTCAGTCATTTGAGTTATTTACATCAAGTGTGTCACGCTAGGTCAACCGTCACCAGCATCTCAACTCAGTCATATGAGGTATTTACAAACAAGTATGTCACGCTAGGTCAACCGTATGCACATATCTCAACTCAGTCATTTGAGTTATTTACAAACAAGTGTGTCACGCTAGGTCAATCGTCAACACACATGTCAACTGAATCATTTGAGTTATTTACATCAAGTGTGTCACGCTAGGTCAATCGTCAACACACATGTAAACTGAATCATTTGAGTAATTTACAAACAAGTGTATCACACTAGGTCAATCGTCAACACACATGTCAACTGAATCATTTGAGTTATTTACATCAAGTGTGTCACGCTAGGTCAATCGTCAACACACATGTCAACTGAATCATTTGAGTTATTTACAAACAAGTGTGTCACGCTAGGTCAATCGTCAACACACATGTCAACTGAATCATTTGAGTTATTTACAAACAAGTGTGTCACACTAGGTCAATTGTCACCAGACATCTCAACTGAATCATTTGAGTTGTTTACAAACAAGTGTGTCACGCTAGGTCAATCGTATGCACACATCTTAACTCAGTCATTTGAGCTTTTAACTTACAAGTGTATAAGACTATGGTCAATCGTTTTTTCACATCTCAACTCAGTTATTTGGGTTGTTTCCTAACAGGTGTATCACGCTAATAGTATGTTAATCATCGTCGCACATCTCAAATTTACCATTTTGAGTCATTTTCTAAAAATCAGTATCACTCAAGATCAGTCATGTCTATACATTTCTGTGGGTGTACTTACCGATTGTCCACCGTCGTCTCTCCTGCAAATCCCGCCACACATCTCGACCCCTCACCCGATTATAGCCCCAGGGACGCCCTCGGTGATAGGGGGCACGGATCTCATTGTCAGTTAGATAGTAGTCTGTATAGATCTGTTCGGTTAAAACATCAAAGCATGACAATAGGGAAAATCATGAGTGAGTTTTAAGGTCGCATACACACAAACGAAAACACATTTTCAACACGGAAAATGGCCTTGACGCTATGCTACTGATGGTAATACAAAACGCTGATGATATATCCATGGATTATCCACCAGTTACGTTAATGATACACCAGTGACGTTGATGATACGTAACTGAGGTTGATGATACACTAGTGACCTTGATACAACACCAAGTGGGTAATGATGCAACACCACTGACGTTGATGATGCAACACCACTGACTTTGATGAAACAACACCGTGGACGTTGATGATACACCACTGACGTTGAAGACATAACACCACTGACGTTGATGATACAACACCATGGACGTTGATGATACAACACCATGGACGTTGATGATACACCACTGACGTTGAAGACACAACACCACTGACGTTGATAATACATCCCTGACGTTGACGACACAACACCATGGACGTTGATGATACACCACTGACGTTGAAGACACAACACCACTGACGTTGATGATACACTACTGACGTTGACGACACAACTGACGTTGATGATACACTACTGACGTTGACGACACAACACCACTGACGTTGACGACACAACACCACTGACGTTGATGATACACCACTGACGATGACGACACAACACCACTGACGTTGATGATAGACTACTGACGTTGACGACACAACACCACTGACGTTGAAGACACAACACCACTGACGTTGATGATACACTACTGACGTTGAAGACACAGCATCACGGACGTGCTACTTAAATCAAACTTAACCTACTTTTTCCTTGGTGACATATAGCCTTACCTCATGGCCACACAGAGCCAGCCAAACAATTTGTGCATCAGCTATTCCAAACACTGATCCATCAGATATGTAGTAGTATAGGTAATGGGGGTTCTGCCGCAACTCCACTGGAGCCGGATTTATATACCTATACCGCTACTACAGGGGGAATTTTTTATGCCAAAATGATTATGTGATTCAATGATAGTCATGAGATTTAGTTAAATTGGCTCTAGCTCACCAATACCTGGGGCCAATCATTGCTTTAGATGAGCCTAAATGGTAATGGAAATATTCTTTATTATTTTTATCAATAAAGCGATATTCAACATTTTTATTAAGTTCTTCGTTCATTTTACTAGGAGACCAGACTATATAATTACACTCTTCTTGTAAATTGATAAGAAACAATTGATAACCGTATTTGGTTGATTTGACATCACTGATATAATAAAAACCTTGTGGAATTCTCTCCATTTAATAGCTTTTTCGATTGTTGTGTTGTAATTCTCCATTATTATATATTTATGTAAGCATTTGTCTAAATGTGATCTAACGATAGTAAGCAATCTATTTTTAATCTCCAACCAGTTCTTTGGTTTTGGCACGGAATAATTGACGCGCTTGTTGCCTCCCCTGTTCTATGAACTATTTTTTTCTCGTCTTCGCTAATACCACTGGTCTTATGAGATTTTGATCGAATCTCCTGCTTCATTGCGTTGTATTTGGTGAGTTCTGACAACACTAAACGAAACTCATCCTCGGATATCTTACAATCAACCATTGCTGTCAAAATATGATCCTCAATGCTGTTCAACTTTGCTTCGGCGAGTATCCGAATACTATCGTGTTTTAATGCTTTCTTTTGTAACCAACGAGAAATGAATTTTATCGCTATTCCTGCCAGTCCCGAGACTCCAGCGGCTATTTCCATGCCGAGCACGATAGGCGCGGCGATTATAGTTGATAGTAAACCGACACCAGCTACGCCGAGTCCCATGCCAGCTGTTACAAGCGTGGTGTCAACTCCGTCCAGAGAATTCACGGCTCTGTGATACTTTTTATACAATCCAAGTCTCAACTCCCTATCCTTCTCTATTCGATGTTTTATGTCGCTTATTTGATGTAATCAAAATCCATCAACAGTATCCATCTTTTCAAATGCCTCATCGAGCGCCGGATATAAACTCATAGTGTATATTACGATCATATAATAGTCTTTAATTGGTCTTGCTTAAATGTTTTGAGAGTATACATCAACCTTATCAAATGTATGTTATACGGCAAGAATATCTAAGTAAGAGAAATACTACCACACTGGACAAAATATCATCCATTCCAACATTTCCAAAACTTGGAAATACCGTCATTCCAATTGGAAATATGACCATTCCAAAATTTGGAAAGGTCATATTTCCAAGCTTGGAAATGTTTGGAAATGTTTGGAAATGTTTGGATTTGTTTGGATTTGTTTGGAAATGTTTGAATACATAGGTGATTTTATGTCTGCTTCTTCTGTCTGCTGGTTAAGCTGTTCAGATCGTTTCCAAAGTGGATTTGCTGCAATATTCTATCCCAACGCTTTAGTTGAATACATAATACTGTTTATAAATGTATTTGACGGTGCAACACATCAAGAATTTACTGCCGCTTCTTCAACTTGTGTGCACTTGAGATTATTATTACGTCGGTAATGCACTCTTTCAAGTGCATCTTTGGCTTAAAGCTTCAAACGAATGCTTTCATAAAATACCCCATTAGATACTTTTCAAATGTTAGGATGTGTTGGCAACACATCATGGTTTTATTGCCGCTTCTTTCAGTTCGTAGGCTTGTATAACGGAACATGGTGGACTTATATGTCTACATATTTGATTTTATGTCACCAAGCTCATTTGTCGATGAAAACATTTCATCTGTAATACGTTACATAAGTGTATCATACTTATGGCCATCATATATTTTGGCAATATTTAGATATCGCAACACATCATGATTTTATTTCAAAGATGCAAAATAAAGGTCACTGAGGGTAGATTTTTTATTTAATTTGTATATAGCGTAGTACAGTGAATTTCTCTTGGTTGTTTAACAAGCTCACATAAAAGATGTAAGCCTCAATAAATTAAGAATTATGTTTCTACTGGTGCTTCTTCTGGTTCTCAGTTTGTTGTTGCGCTTTGTTAAAATATTTTGTAATATGAACTTAGCACCATAAATGATTTGAAATTTATCACAGGATGTACACCACCACAAGAGAGGCATCGTGGTTTTACTAGTGCTATTTTTCAAATCGAATATACCTTTATCAGACATGGCGATGCGATTGAACACCGGATTGGTACCCTGTTATATATGGCTGTTTCCCTCTCTGTTTCTCAGAACTAATCCATAAATTGATAGCATTATAACTAAACTGCTGTCGAGGTGTTCATTCCAAATCTTACATTTCACCAAGCCATGCAGAAATAACAAAAATACAAAACACAGGATGAACGTGAATTTATATTCAGGATATCATGTCATAGTTCAAGGTATATGTACAATAAATAACACTTGGGCACATCACTGGGTAATGATCATACATGTATACAATTATATCTACAATAATACACATACAAGAACTAAAATATAGAATGTACAATTAAAATTTCTATTTAAAGCAAAACTTTACAACAACAATAAACCAATAAATTACACACACACAAATCTGTCCCTTGGTGACACAAATGTAACTGTCCTGGTACCTATTTGTCCCTCAATTTTGACGAATTTACCCTTAATTCGTTGAATGGGCATAAACGAAGATGGACCAGAGTCAACATACATGGAAGAGTGCCAGGCTTCCACTGGTCGGCCACAATGGTTTTTTAGTTTATCTTCAAGTTCCCGATACCATTGAACTTCTGCAAGGATGTGTCTCTTCTCTATGCCGTCAACTCTTGCTGAGTGCTGAAGGTATCTCAATACCTTTCCAGGTCTCGGAGAAACCCCCCAACCAATTTTCCCGTCCCCGTCTGTCCAGTAGGCAGTGATGTAAGAAGATCTCACACTTTGAGACTTGGCAGATCCAAAGACTTCTGATCCAAGGTATAGAGTTTTTATTTCCCTAACGGCCGGCAAAGTCTCGACTGTTTCGCCATAGAGGGCTCTGTACATTTCTTGAAGGGAGTGTTCATCATTTTCAGTGAGGCCACGGACTTTATATTTTGAAAAAATGAACCTGTCAATGTCAGTCCACTGAAGGTTTTCAATGTGATGAAGTCGGGATGACATCTGTCGGAGCTGCAAGCATTCACTTGAATTAATCTTGCCAAGAGTACCCACTTTAATGTTAGCTGTAACAGTGGCGATGATCGGCTCAAGGGTGTCTCCAAAGTGAAACTCGTCATCTAAGACCAATCCAAGGAGATGAGAATGGCTTACGAAACGTCTCATCAGCTGCAGTTCTACGCTTTTCTTGTTAGTTGTGTAGTCGCCCAGCATACCATTAAACCGTTCAAAACTGAACAGCCAAAACGAGTAAATGGGTCCAAAGTCCTGAACACACTCAATCAGATGACAATGCAAGTGCATGTTAGGGGTAACTCTGTCACGGCCATATAATCGCTCAAAATTCTCACAGAAGCGCATCAGTAATAAATCTGCCATTTTTATGTCATTTTCAGTTAATACTCGGCAACACAAATATCTACAGGCCAATACAAAATTTCGCCAACATTCTAAATGATCATCAGAAATAACATCCTTCAGTGCATACACAGAAAACAGTAACGTCCAGTTTTTAAACTGGTCTGCACTAAACCCTGCAAAACCGGAGGAAATCTTATGTGGGATGCGACCAATGTCACTTGGACAGTTAACTGCATCCACCTTTGCTTGGATAGTGTCTAAGTTCTTGTCAGTTAGTACACCAGTGTCTCTCCATACATGCAACATATGTTTTGATGTCCCCAGAAACAAATTGTGCATAGGATCCACAACAGACATTTTGATCAGATCAAGGTATGGCAGCTCAGACAAGACGGAGTATCTTGTTCCATACGAACTCGCAAGTGCTTCTCTATCTGTCTTGGTTCTGGCACTTGTGATGTGTCTAATTTCTCGTATATGCTTTTCATGGGTGCGAGGTATCCACTGAGTTCTGTCAAAACCACTGTAGTCTCTTTTGCCG